GATAGTGGATCAGCTGGCTCGAGCTGAGGATTTTTGGGCAAACTTTGAGAGGGCTTCCCTTGAAATACATGCTAATGGCAGCTAAATTGCAGCTGTGAGCTGCTAGCTGCTATTGGATGTTGCATATGTATTGTCAGAGCTGTTGAACACGTCTAAATCTTGCACACTTCCCCCAGCCCCCGGCCCAAGGAACTGCATTGAAAACAACCTTCACAGGTGCTCATTGCAGTTGAGCGATTCAACTGGGTCACTATGTTCACACTGGGTTTGGTGCGCTCACCATCGCTCACCTGACATCTGGCGAGCAATTCTGACTTCAGCGGCTTGAATTGAGGGCGCAGGTCATCCGTTCGAAGTAAATTATGAGATTTACTGCTCCTGCCTGATCATTGCTGCTCTTAGGCACGACTGCGGCGGTTTGCGAATTGCCCTACATTTTCTGCCCAATGCACCCGGAGTTGTGGTTCAAACAAACGTGTGTCATGGCCATCTTGTTCAGGGGCCCAAAGCGGAATGTTCATCACAGCCGACAAGGGAACCCATGGGAACCCTCTTCAAGCCACAACCCCAGGCTCTATACAGGCTGTTCCTGCCTGAAAGGACTGAGCTCGGGTCGCGAAAATCCGGGCCCCTGTACAGTGTGTACAATAGCTGTGCAAATGCCAGCGTACGGGCCAGCATATGCCCGCTGTCGCGAGGAAAAAACTGCTGAAACATGCATTTTTCCACCGAAGGGAAAGATGTGAGCCAGACGGGCTCGGGCCGAATTTGTGTCAATCTGCGACTGTCAAAAGTGCGATGCTTTGCCCTTTGCAGAGCACGTGATCCTAGGTCAGCAGAACACTCAAACTAGCCCAAAAAATTCCGGCTGGCACGGCCCACCTTCATGAGTTCCAGTCTCTTCCTTCTTGCGCCTTGGAATCTGGGGTTCACGGGCAACTCGTGCCAGCCACCATGCGCGCTCGCGCTCCTTGCGCGTGCTCCTTGCGCGCGTTTTCCTAGGCCTCGGCCAGGCCTTCGGGGCGCTCGCCTTCGCCTCCGTCGAAGCGCGCGAAGCGGCGGGCCTCGCAGAGCGCGAAGAGCCCCGCGAGGAACATGGGCGGGCCGAAGCCCACGGACTCGGCGGAGGGCGGCCGACACGGGCCCCCGGGGGTCGGTTGGGCAGGGGTTGCAAGCCACCAGAAATATGGCTGGAGGGTTCGCATTGGGTTGATAAAAAAAATGGAACAACTTGGCATTTCACAGGGATGCCCCCCTGATTTCTGATGAAACAAACAATTTGGATGAAAGCACTCAATTGTTGACACGGCCTGCTTTGGGCTTTCGTCTGAATGGTTCATGTCCTGTTTTACCCCGCTCGCGAAGTAGCGGGGGGGGGGGGAAGTGGGACGAAGGGCAGTTCATGTTTGTCTCTCGCACTGAACGCAACCCATCCAAAGCATCCGAACATCATACAGCGGTCTCCCAAAAGGGCCCCCCCCCAAAATAAATGTCTTTGCCCACCCAAAAGTGGCCAATACAAGCCAAGAAGATAAGGAACATCTTACTCAACACAACCAATCATGGAGAAGCGCCATGGGTATAATATATAGATATATATATACACATACATATACTATAATATTTAGGTTGAACAAAAACGGTTCCCCAAGCGATTGGACCCCATGAATCAATCCAATCGAGCTCTGAGGCAAGGACTTTTGCATGGCGGGATGCCGCAGAATCAAATCAACCTCCAGTGAGCAACACTTATCCAACAATCCATTATACTGATATGTGTAAACCAAACCCCACCTCCCCAACTGTAAACTGTAAACCAAACCCAACTCGAGTCGCAGTCGACCGACGACCCAACTGGACGAGCGCGCGCCTCTACAAAGGAGCAAATCACCAGAGACGCCGACACGGCCCCCAGCTCTGTGGAGAGCCGCAGCAGCGACAAAGACGCCACATGCAGCGAGGGTCTGAGTCAGATTGTCCGAAATTCATGGTTTGGAGTGGAGACAGGGGCCCTAGTTTGGAGTGGGGGGCTCATAGGAACTCGTTTGCCCTTACTTGACGGTCATGGTGTTTTCGGTGCATGTTTCTTTGTTGTATGCTTCACAGACTCTGGATTGGCACGGAGGTGCCCATTGGGTTTCAAGGACAATTGAAACCCAATCCCTAAACCAATCCCAAACCACCAAATTAGGTCACCTTGCCCGGGGTGTTAGACAATAACCCTATCCATGATTCCAACATGGGCAATTCCCATGAGTAGCTTGCCACTTGCAAGGACATTCACGGACATCACAGGAAATTGGCCACCACTTCACCGCACAAGGGAAGCCACGTACTTCTTCTATCTGGCACAAGGATACAGATTGGCTTCCAAGAACCCGGTCGTTCTACGGCCAATCAACAAGAATCCCAATCGGAAATAAAGACTTCCCAAGCAAAGGGCCTTCATCTTTGTCCCACCACTACAACGGAACCACTATTGAGGAGCGGATTTATTTTAAGGAACCCCGCCATCTGCACACTATACATAATTCAACACCTCAAACCGCCAGTAAAGGACCTTCACTATGGGCTTCGTCATCCTTACCGCGGACCAGTGAGCTCGCTATAAATTGGGCAGAGCAAGTCCACCAGCGAAACTTAAGGGCTTCAAAAATCGGATCCCCATCCTTCGCGTCGCTTGCAGATGGCTTCTTCCCATCCCCAGCATTGCATGCAACCTGTCTTCCTAAAGCAACCTGTCTCCGGTTTCCAAGGCGGCGCTGCCGACAATGGAGCCGCAAAAGGAAAGGCGGCGCGTTTCTTCGCCTTTGTTTCAACTCTGATTCGCGAGTGCCTCGGCGTGCTACAACGTATAACCCCACCGTCTACCGTGCCTGGCTGAAACCTGACCCCTCCAGCCAAGGATTCTCTGCTCTGTCCCTCAAGGATTCCCCTCCAAAAACTTCCGTTTCGCCAGGAGCTGGTGTTTTGCTACCTGTATGCGTTGCTTGATGCAAAGCACCCAACATGGCGATCCTTCAAACAAACAAATGGTCCACAAAAACAAGAAACGGGACAAACAACACACACACACACACACACACCAAACAAATCAATCAACAAATTGAATCCGTTGCAGCAACCCCAAAAGCGGTACTCCTTCAAACCAATGGTCCATAAAAAACAAAAAGGGGGGGGGTGGGAAAGCGGGCCCCTCGCTGTGGACGTCGTGCCAATGTGCCTCTGGTTGTCCGTGAAGATGGCTGGCAGCGCAGGGCTCACCAAGCCCATGCCCAGCGCCAGCGCGCTCAGCAGCACCGCCAGCGCCGGCCCCTGGAAGGGGCTCTGTAGCGCACCAAACGGTGACCCGCGACAAATATTTCTAGGGGTGTCTAAAAAAAGCGGAGCAAAAACAATTGAAATTTCTCAAATTCTATTTCTCTAGGGCTTGAGTCCTTGTAAATTCGTTTCAACCATCGTTCTTTTCAAAAACCGGATCCATCGTTCTTCTCAAAAACCAGCCGTTTTCCCTGGGATTCTGGTTTTCTAGAAAGAAGGATCCCTAGAAAGACTGGGGAAGGTACCCCTAGATGCATCTCTTTGAGCAACTCAACGTGGCTTTGTCTCAAAAAAAGGAGCACCCCCCCAAAAAAAAGGTTGGTCTCCCTTTGATGTCCCTCTGGACGAACCAAGCGTCTTTCTCGTGCTTGGCTCTGGCGGCTTCGGCTTCAAGGAATCAGGATGGTTCTCAGTAGGCAATGTGGCTGTGAATTCATTTGGCTCTGTTAGTAAGTCTTTTAATATCATTTGTGGATTCCTTCCTCCTATTGCTAGCCTGCCGAAATCCCAACAACATCTTTTAATCACTTGGGGATTTGTGTCCACCAACCAATTTTGATGGAATGATTGCCTCCTTGTATTCCCGGAAATACCAACAACAAACTTTGTTGGCTTCGGTTGGCTTTTTCCGCAACAAATTGGCTGTGGGTCAAAACCCTGTACCCCTGGTGCACATCAAACTAGGTGGCAAATGGATGTTCCTCCACCCAAAATGGAGCTTCATCGGTTCTGCAACCCATGGCCAATCCCCACTAAAATAGGTTCTAAACTGGGTGGTGAATTCACCTACCCCAAAAATGGGATCCCAAAACGGTTTTGACCCCCACCGCCAAAAAATCCGCCGCTCAAAATCGGCGTCCGATCCGACGATCCGAAGCGGGGCGCAGGCGCGGCGAAGGCGCCTCGCCGAGGAAGAGGGCCAACTTGGGGGACTGCGGGAACAGCATGGCGGCCACGCCGATGATCGACAAGCCCGGGATCAGCACCGCCTCGCAACCCGGCGACCGACCCAACGCAAAAAAAAGAAGAAAAGAAACGGAAACGGGTGATTTACTCGGGTCGATTTTTACTGCAACCGTCTTCTTTCCTAGGTCCTCCAGATTTGAGAGGTTAGAATAAGGGTACCCGATTTTTGGTCTGGAGTCGATTTTAGTAGGGGAACCCTCCCCCCAAAAAGGGTAAAGGCACTACTGGGGGACCTAGTTTTGGGGATTGGGGATTGGGTTTTAGATGGTTTGAGGCTGCAACATAGACTCCAAGTGTGCCCCTTCCCCCGTTTCGACAGAAAGCTCACAGAAGCCAGCAAAGGAATGGCCAGTTGGAAGAAGCTTTCAGAAAGAAACTCCTGGCTGTTGTGCTCATGGAATTGATGGGAAGAAGGACTTTGAAGGCAAACTCTTGTGAAGGGAAGCCCTTGCCGCGCTTTGTTGGCTTCAACCAGCAAAGGGCCTCAGCATGGGCAGCACAGGGCGAGCGCTCAAACTCCAACGAAGAGATCTGCCGAGTGGGTTTGTCAAGAGACCAAAGGCTTAAGAACTATAAAACTTCATAGCCCTTGGTATTGCAGCCAAAGCTTTGGTCTTTGCAGCCTTCTAGGACAAATGAACAGAAACAAACAACCAACAAACCAAGAAACATGCCAAGAACAGTGAAGAACATGATGCTCACTAGCTTTGTCCCCGAATAAATCCACTGATTGCTTCCTTGAAACACCCGGGATATAGGGATCCTTCCCTCTGGTCCCCCCGCACGCCGGTGCCCCGCGGTTGCCCCCCGCGGCCCCGCCTTGCGGCCCTTGCGGTCCGCGATCTCTGCCGCCGGCTTGGAGCTTAAGAAGCCCACCAGGAACACCAGGGCGTAACCTGCTCGCGGAGCGGAGGGCGGAAAAATATTCTTTCTTGAAATACCGGAAACGGGAAAACTCTCACCAGAATGGCGGGGGTCCAATTTGTTTGGAGTGCCTGTCAAACCGAAAAAAGACGCACCCAGATAGGTATGTGTTTTCTGAGCGAAAGGTACCCTTGTCACCCTGGTTTACAAGAAAACCAACAAACCAAACCCATCACTTCTGTTGGTGGTTACCTTGATTGAAAAAACACTGTGTGAAACAGACATGCCGGATTTGTGCGGCTGAACAAGAAGGGCAAGGCGTTCCAACTTTCAAAGCAAACAATTGGCTAGGTTCTCCAGTAGAGAGGTTAGAATAAGGGTACCCTTTTTCTGTAGTCTATTCTAGAAGGGGAACCCTCCCCCAAAAAAGAATCGGTAAAAGGGCACTACTGGGGGAACTAGTTGGCCTGGAAAGTGCCGCCGAAGGTGGGACTTGGGGGACATAAGGAGGGCAACTTTCAGAACCCGTCAAAACGCAGCCACTCTGCGGGACCCAGGGCCATCCTTGCTCTGCAAGGAAAGCTCCCTCATAACTTTGCGAACCCCAAATCCACTGTGGACGAAGGCGATTTCCGGATAAATCGGACCCTTTCAACTCCAATCGATGGACCCAACCCTCAGGGGTCCAAGTCGCAAAGTGACACCCCGGAGGGTCCATAGTCAAACTCGCGGGTGAGAATCAGCGGCACCAGGCAAAAGAGCACAGAGGCCAAGGCGCCCCAGTACACCTGGGCACCAAATCCGCCGATTTGCAGCCCCCCTCAAATTTGCAGTGGGGCAGTTGGGGGGGGATGGGGGGGGGGGGGGCAAAAGGCAATGGGCTGGGTGAATCAACCAACACAATCGATGTGGCTTTGGATTTTTTGGGGGGATTGGGTGTGGTTGGGCAAGCAAGAACTCAAGATGGTCTACCCAGAACCATGTAAAGAATTAAGAAGGCGGCCGCAGCTATTTATGGTTGGGATCGTCCCTTACTAACCTTCATCTACTCGGGTTTTGATTGTGGCTCATATGAGGACAATCGCCACCACAGCTGAAAGTCAAAGCCCCAAAACGGACAGGGACAAAAAACAGTACCCATAACATACACTATCACATATGACAAGAGCGGGAGCAACCCACTACAAAGAACAGCAGCAACTGCAACACCACTTGAAGGTATGCTGCCTCTCCTTGCCCCGCCAATCATATTCCATATCCGACCTCCCATCCTTGGCCTTGGCTTAAGCATGTTCAAACCAACGCTGCTTGAACAACCTCTCTTTGGAGGAACCAGGATCCTGGCTTTGAATAGATGTTGCCACCAACCCGGCCCACCTCCCCATGCCCCCAGCGTCGCTCCCCAAGCCTTCCTTCGTTCAAAACCGAGGCGCCGCAGCGTAAAGCACGGCCTCGATGATGCGCTGGTCTTGGAAGAGCTCCCGGTAGGGCTTGATGTTGTCATCTTCTTTGAGGCTCACGAACTGGCGGTCGACTCGGGTTTTTCAGAGGCCATCACCCCAGGATTTTATTGGCTGCAGGAATCCAGGGTTCACTCCAGCCGTTCTTTCCAATCCGGAAAGGCCAAGGCTGGATTCCAAACATTGGAACTCGAGGCCGACAAATCTAAGGCTGGAATCCAAACATTCTCTTCACTCATCCTTCTCTTCAAAAACCGCCCATTCCCCGCATTGCTTGGGGATTCTTTCTGAAGAAGTCCTTGACGAGGAACAAAATGGGTAGGGTACGGATAGACACATGGATGTTTTTTCCCTTCTTTAAATGGGTTGCCAACCTTGGAGATACCACCAAAAGCGTCCCAAAGCTCTGAAACCTCCTCCAAGGCCAGGCCTGAGGCCTCGTCTCCTTCATCATGGCCTGGTTGAGCACAGTGAAAACAAGCCTCAGGCGTTCGCACAGACCGCGAAAACCCCCGCCTGAACGGCCATGTGCCCCTCTGGTCAAAAGGGAAAATGAAAAACGCCGGTAAGTCTGGCAATATCGGCCGACAAGGAAGAATAGGATGGCACATCCCGGCCTCTTGCTGACTTCCGACACTAGTGAGTCACTAGTGGGTAGTTTGGTATTTGTGTAGCGATTGGGGTCGGTTGCTGGCTTGAAGCGCTTGACGGTTGTTCCATTGGTGTGCTTCCGCGTGCCACCCTAGGGGTTCGAGAATTCAGGGCAAACAGGACCCATGATACCCGCTTGGTTTTGCCGCGCGCTTGACAGCCTTGGTCAAGCATGTCACGAACGGCATGGATGGCCGGGTCCGGCGTTCAAGCTCATCCTTGGGTCTCTGGGCTGGTAGATGTGTGTTTACCCACAAACATTGAAGGGTGTTTGTCTTCTGGACATATGGCCATGGGTCAAAATCCCGTACCCCCAGTGAACATCCCAATCTCCACTATGGACTGCAATGGGTGGTGCACCCACCCCAAAATGGTACCAAAACGGTTTTGACAACCACCGCCATATCTTTGGTCGGTCAAGTTCTGCCCCCGGCCCGTTCAAAGCTCCAGGCCCCACTCCGCTCGGTTCGGCCGAGGAGCGTGGCCGCTCCGAGGCAGGCCATCGCGCTCTGCTCGCCCGTCAGGTTCACCAGCTGCCCGCCGAGCAGCGGGCCCAGCACGCTGGCCATGTTCCTCGCCCGAAAAAAGCGCGTGCGTTTTGGGGCGTTCCGGCTCGCGTGTGTGGGGCGCTCCAGCGCGTGTTTGGGGCGTTGAAGAGCGTTTTTTGGGGCGTGCAAGAGCGTGTTTCACAGAAGAAACCGGGGAAAGGGGGAAGGGAAAATACTGCCAAAAGGCTCAAGCCGTTTTGGTGCAAGTGGCCAAGGGCGCCTTGCCTTTTGGTTTGGGAGCGGGGTTGCCCTTGTTTGGGACGGCCGCGAGACATGGGTGCGCTAGCCGAGAGCTACCGCAAGAAATGGGATGAGGAGTGGCATGACACACACACACACACACACACACGGCAAACTAACCTTTCGGCGGGGCTGACATTTGGGCCTGCATAGCCGCTAAACTTGGGCTTTCTTGTTGTCAATCTTGCCCCAGTCCCAGCCATGCTGGTGCCAAATCACCGGAAACTAGTATTCTTCAAGGCTGGTGATTCGGCAAGCAAGAACTCAAGATGAGGTGGAAACTTGCTGGTGGTCCACTTAGAGAATCTCCCTTGGAGATGATTTTCATGAAGGCTTGAACTTGTTCGATCTGCAAAATGGACGATGATCTCACTGGGGCCGGACATGGAAAAGGACATCCTTGTAAATATGTATATGTGCATGTATATAAGCTTGAGGTTGGTGTTGGTGTTGGTGTTGGTTGTGGTGTGGGTGTTGGTGTTGGTGTTGGTGTGGGTGTTGGTGTTGGTGTTGGCGGTGGTATTGTTGCTGCGGTTGTGCTGTTGTTGCTGTTGCTGTTGCTGCTGCGTGATTGTTCACGGGTACCCGGCTCAGCTTGGTTTAGCTGGACTCCAGTTTGGCTGTTTCAGGGAGTCCGAAGACTTCGGCTCAGTTCCGTTTGCCATCCAAGTCAGACATATACTTGTAATCTGACCTTTCGGCCCGTCATCTCCTCCCCAAAAAGCCAGTTGGAACACATGTTAGAGCTTTTTGAATGCAAGGATTTCGTAGATGCCGTTTCTAGAACTACCAGAAGCTCCCATGATGGATTCAGCCCAGGCCAAGCTTCTGACGGCCAGATGTGCAAAACTTTGCCGTGCGCTTGGATGCATCTCCAAAGATGGCCATGGGTCAAAAGCCAAATCGTACCCCAAATAGACTAAAATCCCCGAAATGGGATCCCAAAACGGTTTTGACCCGCAACACATGGGAACCCCAAAATGGATGGGAGTTTCCTCCAACTCCGAAAGCTGCAAGGGCGAGATTTCGATTTGCTGAGAGAGGGGCTGGGCCATGAGTGCGGGGGCCATGATGCGGCTCTTGTTCTCGGGCGTGGAGATGTCTGAGAGGTACCTCTGAGGGCTCTGCGGGCGGGAGAGAGAAACCTGCCGGCCGCTTTTTGGAAGCTCGGAGTAGGATTTCCCTCTAAGGGTTGAGAAGTTGGCTTTGGGTCTTGGGTTTCGACATTGTGGTAGATTGGATTTGGCTTAGTATTGGTCAATTCTAGTTTAGTATCGACAGATCTCGGGCTTTGGTAAAGCATCTTTACTATTAGAGGGAAGTTACTGCTCGAGAAATTCACATCGCAGCGACGCCAGAAACAAATGATTGCGCGGACCGTTGCTGGGGCGCTAATTGGAAGCCAATAGGAAGTGGGGTGAAGCGAACCTGAAGGCTAATTAGGAATTGAAAAATGCAAACCTGCCCAGATTGCCGCAATCCGCTTGCAAGCAATCTCTTCTCAACCGCCAACTCAACCGGCTTTTCAGCCAACGACCCAACTTTTTCGGTGGGATTTCCCTGCCGAGCGTTTTTTTCCTCGGAGCTTGCCCACACATCGCCATATCGCCATATCGCCATATGGCCACAGGGCAAAATCCAAATCGTACCCCCGGTGCATGTCCCAATCTCCACTATAGACTAAAACGGGTGGTGAATTCACCTACCCCAATACGGGATCCCGAAACGGTTTTGACCACCACGACCTTCGCCCAGCGGATCAAACCGAGCGCCTCGAGCGCCTCGAGCCGACGCGAATACCGAGCGCATCGAGCCGACGCGAGCGGATCGGGGAAGGGCGCATCTGCAGCGCGGAGTTCTGGCCCAGCGTGGCGGCGCCGATGAGCAGCCGCGCCAGGCAGATCTCCAGCAGCGTGCCGCTGAAGGCCAGGCCCAGCATCGCCACCTCAGCCCGTTCCGCTGCGAGGGACGGACGCGGGGGGGAAGGCTCGAGGGAAGTCAGGGGAAGGCCTGGGGCCCCAAGAAATCACTTCAAGCCAGGGAACGTTTGTAGGTTTCGGGTGCCTGGGAGCAAAAAAAGCACTTGTAGCACGAAAAGGTGGTAATACATAGACTTAATGCCAAGAAAGCCACGCTTGAGACTAGCAGTGTTCGTTCGAACCAGGCTTGTTTGCTGTGAAGGGTGGTTTTCTGCTGTGTGTGTTGAACTTTCAACAAACCTCAGAAAGATACGAACTCAGAAGGCTACCAAATTGGTGCTTTTTTTGGCGGGTCCTTCCCTTGCCAAAAGGGGGCTGTTCCGCTCAGTGTTGTTGCCGCTTGTTTAACCCCACAAGGCATTTCAATTACTTGAGTTCCACGTAAGAGCTTCGCTGGCCAAGTTTGCGTCCTGCCTTTGCTGTCAAACAAGAAGCACCCCTCTCCTTTCCGAACCACAGGCGAACCACAGGTCCACAGGCAAAGCCTGGGACAAATAGCTCAGAGTCATCTACGAGGCTCAGCTCTCGCTTCCGAATTCTTCTGCAAGGTCGTCTTCCCGTTTTCTTCCATCTAAAAGGCTTGAGCGATGGCTAAACGGAGCAGTAGAGGAACCAACCCCGCTGAGTTGGACACCCGGAAAGTTGGCCAGGGAGTGTTTGGTAGAAGGGAGGGCTTGCTGCTGATAAAAGCAGGCGTTGCTGGGTCATGGGTCTAGGGCACCAAAGGCAAAAATCTGAGCGGTTGAGTGAGTCTGCTCCTGCTAACATCAGCACTTTGTTCCCACCCCGGATCACTAGCCATAGACCAATTTGGCGGAACTCGCCAGCTGAGTATGGATCTATTCATGAACACGCAGCCATGCTGTGCCCCTTTTGTGGGTGGCTGCCTGCAGAGTTAAGTAATGATGAATGCTGAATTCACCCATACGCTTGAGGTACACCGTGGATGGACAACATCCTGCGATAGAGAACGTCTCATGAATCTTGGCATACGCCTCGTACCAACTGCCGGATTTTGTCCATCGTGAGGTTCTACATCCAGCCCTTGAGGACCACCCCTCTGCATCCGCATGAACGTCTTCGATCGGAAAAGGCCGCAACTCGAAAGGCGCGTTCTCGAAGGAGCCATGGTCTCAGGTGAAACGTCGCAGGTTTCAACTGAAAGGCCAAAACATTCACAATAGTCCTATGATCATGAAGCTATGTGGCTCACAACAGCCGTTCCAGTTCTTTAGGCCATGACGGTAAAGATGAGTTCGGAAAGCTTGGTCAGCTTCCTTTTGATGGCGCGATACTGGCCAAACCGCAGAAAACTGGCCGAACTCCGATCCCACTCAGGTGTTCCTAATGTGTAGATTTAGTTGCGTTTGCTTGTCAGAATGCATGGCAAGTTTGATCGAATGACGATAGGCACACACACACAGACTTGCTTGCCTACAAAATGATTTAATGCTTCAAGTCATGTTGCTGTGCCTGTACCGCCCTCGTCACAGCAGTTGGTTTCTGGGCAGGCCAAAGCTACCAAAATCTGCCTTGATTCGCATGGGGATTGCTTCTCGCCCATAGAGGTACATAGAGCGTCGCAATATGCTCAGGTTCTGTGTCATATTTGCAGACTACCCTAAAGCATAAAATCGCATGGGACGGCTTTTGACGAACGCACGTTCTTTGGAGAACTTGCCCGGAGAGAGCGCGGCCAACGGCTCTGAACTTCCCGTTTCGAGCTACCACTGCAGCCGCGCGGCTGAGAAGCAAAGGAAGGACCACACCAAGATGGGCTTTCGGCCCCAGTTGTTCCTCACAGAAGGCCGGAAGGCTTAGCAAAATTTATTGAGGGCACTCTGTCCAGGTTGGTACCGAAAGGAAAACCACCACCTTGGGTGTCCCCACCTATCTTGGCACATACCCCGAAAGCTTTGGACAATGGGGCTCGTTGCTATAGCTTCTGCACCCCCACAAAAACAGCCAGGTGAATGGCAGTGGGCGTGACTGAGACCTTTTGACAAGAAGGCAACTCATGGGTCGTCCAGGTACCCAGGGCACCAAGCTAAACGACCGAACAAATCAAACGACACAATCAAGCACGGCAACAAATCAAAGACACACATCAACCAAGAAAACACGTCTCACACCAAATCCCAAAACCATTTTTCATCCAACCAAACCCCCGGACCAACATCTCCTCCGCACAGGTGTCCTTTTAGGGGAAATAGATGGCCCTGGTAGATGATTAAGCCACCAGGTAAACCAAATCGCCATCGATTTGTCTAGCAAAACCACCAAAAAGGGACACCTATGACTCATCCGCAAACTCCCCCTCCCCGGAAAAAAAAGAAGAAGGAAAAACAGAAAAGCACCAACACCTCCTCCGCCAACTCCGCCAACTCCGCTTTCCTCCCCGTTTGGCCTTCCAAAAGGGACACTTCAACGCCTCCTTCTGCTTTCCCCGGGCCCAGGCGCAGCAGCCCAGCCACCGGCACGGCGCAGAAGATCTTGGCCACGCCCTCGGCGGCGCAGACCGCGCCCCAGAGCTCCACGGAGAGCTCGAAGCGCCGGCACAGCAGCGGCACGATGGGCGCCATGGCCTCGGAACATGGCCGGGGACGGTCCCCGAAATTCTCCTCCGAAAAATCCGCCCACTTTGGCAAATTTGGCCATGGGTCAAAAGCCAAATGTTACCCCCCAGAGCTCAATCCCCACGGATTATAGACTAAAGTGTGCACCTACCCCAAAATGGTACCATTGGTTTTGACCCACAGCCATTTGTGTTTCCTTTGTTTGTCTGTGTGTGTGTGTGGCGCATGTGCTACTGTGTTTGTTTTGTTTCTTTGGAGGGGGAGGGGAGCGGGAGACATACCCGCAAGGGTAGCTGAAAGCAGTTTTTTGTGGGGGATTTTCTGGCTGGTTCTTTAGGGAATCAAAAGGGGATTAGGCCCTTCTCGTGGCCAGAGGAAGCGAATTGGGGAGCGTGTATGTATGGCCTGAACTTGCAAAAGAAATCCGCCTTGTCTCTTGCTCCATACCATTTTACTCAGTGCGGAATGAGTTGGAATGACTGCGGACTGAACCATCCCTTGCGGGTTCATTTTGGGGGATTCAAAGCCAAGGACTCATTCCCAACACCCTTGGTGATTCCCTACGGGCAAACCCAAAAAAGTGCCCCATATTTGCAAATTCGCGCCGGGCGGGGGTATGTGCTTTTGCCCTAGCAGCTTTTTTCGCATTTTTGTTTGGCTCCACAATTCCATGCCCTCTGGGACCCACCCAATCATTCGCGAGATTTCGACTGACCGCCTCTCAAGTAGAGTTTGTGACCATGCGGCTCCCCCAACCTCCACGCTCTGAGCCCGCTCCGTTGGAACGAATCAACCCGGCTGGAATTTTGTAGATGGCTTCTCTGCCCTATGAACTCGACATCATGCTTGAAAGAATGGGTTTACTATGATTTAGCTATGAGTTGTATGTTTAAGATATGTAGAGGTATGCATCAAATATAGAGTCTGAACAGCTCCGGGAAGGGTGTTTGCTGCAGAGGCGCATGCCGAAGTCAATCTGAGGAAGCCACTCGCGCTGGCCACAAGGCAGGGTGCCACTAGTCAGGATTATTCCACGAAGCCAGTTGTACGCACAAGGCTGAACTGTTGCTCCCTGCAGGAACCAAACCCAAGATGGGAATGGTTTCCTCTTGGCCCTTCAAAAAACCCAAAGGGGGTCGCCCAAAGAAAGGCTGGGGCGATCCTGTTCCATCTTCATTTCCTGACAGGCGCACTCCCAATGCGGATCCAGCCCACCACCCACCAAAGGAGCCAGCTATAGGTGGCCCAAACAATTAGTTACAATGGAAACTTTGCAACAACTTTGAAACTAAACTTGGTGGCAAGTGGGCTACTTTGTGGGCTTTGGAAACAGGTAGCAATCATGGTGGGCTACTTTGAAACCAAACTTCGTCACCGTCATAGGAGTCACCTCTTGGCTATTGTTCAGCCGCGTACACTACCCAACACTCACAAAACATCCACAGGCGCAGAAAGCTTTCCACTCACCCTTTGAACGTGCTGACTCGCACGCACAGCCCTGATTCATGAGCGCCTCCCATAATTCAGCGACTCCGGACTGAAGGGCCATTGGGCCAGGCGAGAAGCTTGGCCCACGTCTGGGGTACTCAGAAAGTCATACTCTCAGATTACGTTTCATGTTTAGTCCACCCAAAATATCGTATATGTTTGGAGGAGACCCAAGCAAAAGCATCAGGTTGGAAATTCCAAGAGAGGAAGCCTCATGTTCCCAAGGGAGAGAGACGCAGGTATCAAGGCACTGCTATGATTCCACTAGGGGAATCGCAGCCCCCGGTCGAATTTTGCTCCAACCGGTTCCCTTCCTTTCAAGGGACCAGGGTCTGGTAGCCCGCCACAGCTCCAGTCAAGTCGCGGTGTAGGGCAGGTAGAAGAATGACTGCGCGAGCACTGCAACCTAAGCGTCAAGAGACCCTCAAGTTGCCTTCTTTGAAAACTTAATCTTTGAGAAGGCAACAACTCACCATCGGATGCGCTCGGCAAGGGCAAAAGCACTTCAAAGGACACAAGAACGATCAACCATCCCATTGATGCCGTTTCCTTTTTTCTTCATAACCCCCTGAAGAAAGGAGGCTTCTAGGGACTCCGAGCAGAAACCCGCCGGACACTTGCCCGTCCACTTCGCAGCGCTTCGCCGCCCAAGAGCTCGAAATGGGGAGGAAACAACCCATGGAGTGGATACTCCGGGCTGTGCTCAGATCCCCTGCTAGTTTTTAACTTTTGGTGGGTTGAATGGACACCCCAATCCTAAAGGTCTAAAAGTTTAAGGGCACAACTAGGAACCGCCATGTATTGTGTCATTGCTTCGCCCCATTCTTATGGGACATGTCTCCAGTCTTCTTTGAAATAGAAACATAAGATCGGATGCGGCGCCGTCAGCCCTAACCTAACTTCAACCCAGCTTCCCAACTACCCACATCGCTCCAAAGACCGAGCATCCAACCGCACACACACGCACACAACCCGGCCAGAGCTTCAGCACTGCTGAATTCAGGACCCTTTGCAGCAGAATGTTGCAGCAATACAATGGCGTTGAACCCATTCTAACTTGGGAACACGCCTGACCGCTTCCGCACTTCTCTGCGACTTTCTCAAATTTGGGTGTTTCCAAAAATTGAGCACCTGCATTCGCACCCACACTGCATATTCACACTAGTCCCGTAACGCGAAACATGATTTAGGGTTTAGGCCCCAACTAGGTCCTCCAGTAGAGAGGTTAGAACAAGGGTACCCTTTTTTCTGTAGTCTACTTGAGTAGGGGAACCCTCCCCCAAAAAACGGGTAAAAGGGCGCTAGCCAAGCAATGGACCCACACGGCTTTCGCTCGTTTCGCCCATCCCAAGGCCAGGCCGCTGTGACAGGATCAGGCTGCAGCCAGAGCTTCGCCTGAACGGCCGGCTTCCGCGCCAAGCGCACCATCATCAGCCCCAGCACAAGGACCAGCGCCGGATGGGTCATCGCTGTCAGAGTCCCGAGCATCCTCCTTGATGGCCGATTTCGGCGATTTGGGCGAGGAACAAACAATTGAACCATGGTTTAAACCAACAGTCCTCTGGGTTGGGCGATGAACAACCATTTGAAACTATGGGGTTAAGCCAGCAAACTGTTTGAACAACACAAGGTTGGTTCGTTTAGGGGACTATAAGGATTTTGCCCCAAGCCTTCTCCTCCGCTTCCTTTTCGCCCGCAAAAACCAAGGCCCCAAGAGCGTGGAAACCTCCAAAGGTTGTCGCGGCAACCGCAAAGGGGGTCGCGGCAACTCCGGGTTTCGACGCACTCACCGGAAAATGGGTTCGATCGATTTGTGAGGCTCGGTATTTTCCTGGGTCCCGCTGTTCTGTGAAGGTATCGAAATTTCGGGGGCATCCGTTTTCCGGTGCATGGGCGCGCTTTGTGGCGTTCCCACGGCTCGCCAGGTGGAGCAACTAGCTGGAGCCCAAAGTCGCGGTGTCGCAAGTCCGGGTTGCACGCCGCACCTGGTTGAGCCATTGACAATGTTTCATGTCAATTGCTGGTTCTCAGCAGGGACTAAGGGAATGACCCCTTTGAACCATCCCTCAGTGGTTTCCATTGAGGGAATTCATTCCCAACACCCTGGGTCATTCCCTACTGAGCACCAGCGAGAATGTGTTATTGGACATGCGAGAGCTCCCTGGATGTTGGAAAGCTTAGAATTTCCCAATGTCCCCCCCAAATGCCCTGCCTTTCTCGTAAGCAACCTTGAATTCAAGTGAGGCTGCAAAGGGCGAAGGGATGGACCCTCTATCAGTCAGGCTGGTTTGTTAAGGAACATAGCCTGCAGTGAAATGAAGGCCTGGGGGCACCAAACAGCATCCTGCTGAAAATCATGCCATGCGACAAAACCCTCGGTGAACAGCACCATGCGAATTTGTCTCAGGCTTAAATGACATCCGTTTCAACCCCTTCTTCAAGGGTGGTTTCCATGTGAGTCACAATCAACACCTGGTACAAACATGGTGAACCCAGAACCATGTAAAGAATTGGAAAGGCGGAATTCCGCAGCTATGCCCCTTACTAACCTTCATCTACCCGGGTTTTGATTGTGGCTCGTGTAGGAGCCCCGGAGTAAAAAGGACGGGAGCTTCCCATTTATACACCCGCCTCACCCGTCCGGCCTTGTAGGTCTTCCAAATGTCCTTCCTCGGGCGAGCGAGCATAGATGTGGATTTGGGCCTTTGTTTGGACTCGGTGCCCTGTTTGTGTGGTGATTTGTACAGGGAGACCGCTCTTTCTGGGGGGGATGCCTTCAAGGTTTGTACATAGGTGATTGCCACTTTCGGGCTTGTTTAGGTCAAGCACTCGAATTGTGGGTGTACAGGGAGAACATCCAATCCCCGATTTGAAGAGACAAGGAGGTCTTGCGTGTTCTCGTTGGCTGCTGCGCAAGGGGTGGTTCAGACTTGACCAAGCGGACACCTTTGGGACCTCTTTTGGTCCCCACTGGCCACCGCGGGTCCAAAACAAGGGGCAGGCTTTGCTGTTTCACAGCGGGAAATGCTTTTGGACCACTCCTCTTGGGTGTGTCAAGATATTTCCCTCGGTGCTCAACACATCCGCGGTGTTTTTTTGAATAGCTTTAAAGGGAGCCAAAGGCAAACTACCAGTTTGCGGCTTCCCATTTCATCTGAGGGGCGTTCACCCCTTCGACAATAACTTCAGTTGACTTTGAAGTACCCTAGAACCCCACTCTAATTATCCAGGCCCTTATATACAATCGAGACACATTCACGGTTTTATAGGGAAATCGCCAGGAGACACACACACACACTGTCACACACACACAATCCCAGTTTAGGCTTGTCCACAAACAAAACCAACACTGGGCTGCCCTCAGATCCCTCGCTAAAAGTTAAACTTTTAGTGGGTCAAATTGGAAATCCATGGAAACCCAACCACTAAACACTCAAAAGCTACAAAAGGACACCGGATGGCTGGGAGCCGCCAAACACCTGTTGACCACACGTCACTCACCTCCTCCCTTCGATGAAGACTCGCTTGGGGTCTCGGGCAGGAGCAGCTCCACTTCCTTGCGGTCCATGACGCCGCTCTTGTCCTTATCGAACTTCTGCCACATCTGCCTGGACTCGGCGCAGTTTTTCGTGGAGCTGGGGGAGTTACGGACTCCCGGAGCTCGGAGGTTCAGTGGATTTCCAGGGGAAAAAGGGGCACCAGTTTTTTTTTGGGGGGGGTTGGCGGACGTTAAAGGAATGGGAAGGAAGCCTGCCCCAAAAAAAGGTAAAAAAAAGGGCGGAATCCACTGGGCAACTGGGGTAGGGGTCGCCACACCACTAAAACAGAAAAATCGCCCGCAAATCCACGCATGGAACCCCCAAAATGGGCCGGGGCAACGAGAAGGAGATTCCCCAAGCGGTTGGAAGGGTTTCCTCCATTTGCTTAACTCCCCTAGAAAAAGTATTTCCACTAGTGATAGATTCCCTTTAAACCCAACAGGGGAAAATAACAATTATTCTTAACCAAAAACCCTCACAGGGGAACTCATTCAACCCTGTCATGGGCTGGGCAGTCAACTTGTCTCGACTGGATGGGGAACACTAAACGGAAGCCGGGGCGAGTCCACGTCCTGTCGCCTAAAGTTCAAGAGTCAATAGGAGCACATGGGTGTGGCTCAAAATTCAAGAGCTAGGGTTACGCAGGTTTTAGTCTTTGGCTCCGTGTACCAAGGGGGCCATTTTGGTACATCTATTTGAGCCACAGCCACATTCAGCCCGAGCCACTGCTTGGTGGGTGGATAGGCTCCTAAGTCGCGCGGTGTGAATTCCAATGGTACGGGCGACGCCTTCAGCCAGCAAGTCTGACGCTTCAATCGGGGCCCTTGGCTTCGGATGCTGGTGATACTTCATCACAGGTGTCCTTTTAGGTTGGAACTAGAGGGATATCCCTGGTAGATGAAACTCAACCACCAGGTAAACCAGGAATCGAAACCCATCTATTTTTCAAGCAACTCAACCAAAAAGGACACCTATGTCATTATGTTCATGATCTGGAGTCTTCGGAAACCGAGTTGCTCTTCGTCCCGTGGCTTTTTTTTGGAGCTGCGTCCCCGCCTGGCTGGGACCTTCTGGGCGCTTTGACCTCGTGAAGAAAAAAACACAAAAAATCGGCGTGAGAGTCTCCTTAAGCCTCCCAGCCGTGCGTGTCAAAAAGGGGTCTGGGTTTGAACACATCGAAGAGGGGTCCGTAGCATTCAGCCATGGGACACTCACAGGCAATCAACCGAAGGGTTTCGCACCCGTTGATTCTCCACATGAGTTGACCACCCACTCAACTGGGTCCATCTCCCCCATGCTTCTGAGAACCAACTCCGTTGTTGAGGTGCTGGAAGCAAGAATCAAGAGGAAGTCGGCTTGGGGTTCCAAATCCAATTCTGAGACAATCCCATACTTTCCGACCAACTACACTAACATGCAACCCACCCAAACTGCCCCTTGAGGCAAATGCTCTAAACCAGAAACCCCCTTCAGCTCAGGCTCAATTTTGGTGGATTGGAGGCTACAGTATCCAAACATTGCCGGAATGGCAATTCGTTGAGCAAAAGCCGGTAACGCGTGAAGGCCAAGGCTTCATCTCCATCTGGTCCAAGTCATTTGCTCCAACTTTCCCACCCGCTCCGCCGCTTCTTCCTCTGCGCCCTCTGACGAAGATCCCAAATCGCGCAACAAGTAGCCTTGTAGATTTACATAGAACCGCGACAAAACACTATTTTTGGAGAAATCTCTTTGCGGGACTGGTTCCAAGTTTTGGTTTGTAGGAGAGTAATCTCGAGGGGATGTAAGACAGACCTGAGGTAAAAGTTGCAATATCAGAACAGCGCTGGAAACGGCTCAAACCCGGCGCGGAACCCTCGCGTCATCGCGAGCACGAATGCTGCAGTGGGGAGGATTGCGAACACCGGCACTATAGTAGCTTGATATGCAACATTCGCCTGCAGTCCTAACTTGGTGTCCTTTCTTCTTTTGAGGGCTTTTTCGGTGCACCGCAAGCCCCAAGCCTCCCCTCATGGCCCGAAAAAGGCATGACTCGTTGACAACACCTCGACTCACTTCTCCCAGTGGCTTGGATTGGTAAGGTCACTTGGGGGTGTTTTTTTTTTCTGGCACCTCTTTTTTTCTTGTTTTGAAGGGACACCAAAACGACACACCCAAAAGGGTTGTTTGCAAGGTCCAACTCCCACCCACCCCCCCGCAGCCCGTAGGCCCGCAACGCCAAAAAAAGAACGGGAAGCTCGGCGCTTGGCCCGGCCCTCCCTCCAATCTCACCCCAAACATGGGCCCCCATGTTCAAAAACCACCTCAGTTGGATGGAACAGTTCTCCAGACGGAAGATGAACCCCAACTAACCCCATCTTGGGACTAAACTCAAGGCTTGGCGATCCAAAAGCTGATGTTGGCCCTGGTTTGTTCGGTGGGACTAGGGCGCCCGCCCATGGCGCCGCATCGACGAGCCGCAAACGAGTAGCGAGCTACCGAAACCGAGGCATATCACGATCAGGTATTTGTGGCTGGTGCTACGAATCAAGAGTGCCTAAAAGTACATGAAGGTTATAAAGGTATATAAATTCAAGATTGCTCAAATGTAAAGAGATTGCTTAGAAGGTATATAAACATGAGTGGGCTCTATAACTTACATTCCAGTTGATCAGCCTCACCTGCTGGGTTGATAATGCGGCCACCAAAGCTTAGAGGCTGTGAGTGGACCTTGCTGGTGTCTATCCACCTTTGAGGCTTCTGACTTTGGAATTTCCAATGATGACTTGGAGGCAGGGTTTAAGCAACATCCGTCTTGCAGTGGGACCCCTCCCGTATTGAAGGATGGATGTCAGCAAGGACTGCAAAAAGTGCCGAAAGCAAGTCAACTGTGACTCTCACAAACTGGCCCATGGTTGGAAAGTCTGGCCCCTTCTCATGCCCAAGACATGGATTGTCAGACACGCTGACAGCTTGAGAGATAAAGAGCGTCGGCGACGTATTGGATGAAAACCAAAAGAGTGTCTCCCCAAAAGAGGACGCCTCCTTCAAAAAACCAACGCCTGAGAATGCACGCGTCTGGTTCTCAACTGATTTGCCTTGGAAGTCGTTGGAATTGCATCCAACAACCTTGCACCGGTTACTCCCCTTCAATCCTCCATGGAACCTAAAAAGATCTCTGCTTCTTCGAGGCTAATCTACAGGGGAGCAAACAGGGCGACCGCCGGCATCAACTTTTGCTTCCGCCGGCGGGCCCTGAACAAAATGCTCCCAGCCACAAATCTGCCAACACAACTTCCTTATGGCACATGTGCGCTTGAACTAATTGCACAGTAGATACTGATCCTTAGAAACAAATGCAGCCAAGTGATATCCTGGCAACCAAAGAGAATCTTCTGAATGACACACGCACACACATTGGAGGATGAACCATGTGTCTCATACGTCTAGTGTGTGTACTGCGTACCCACGTGACACTTTTCACAATACATCCAGCTGTTGTTTCCATTGCTCTTCTGCAGAAGGGCCGAAAAAAATGGTTGCACGGAGCCGAGCTGGGTACCAACTGACTTGGGTAGTTACAATCCCTTGAACAATTGCCCCTTCTCGGCCTATCGTCCCGAGACTGATCGGCTCCCCCGCATCGCTGTCTACCCGCATGGGTGCAAACACCACACGCTGTTTGACAGATCCAGCGGTTCAGAAAGATGGTGGCACCAGTCTATTCGAAGCCAAGCTGCTGCGCTAGCTCTGAGAAAGTGTCTATTGATCATGCTCCCCCACCCCCACACATGTATCGTTCGGGCAAGCAGCTTCTGACTTACCCAGTTGACTCGCCAAAGAAGTTTGGAATTATATAACTAACAGTCTGATGAAGGAATCACTCAACAAGAAACTCAAAGTTTGCAAAGGCAACAGGTAAGGCTTGTAAGGAACCATCAGGCAACATGCAACTTGAACTCACCCGCTCAACACGAGTGAGTAGCCAGTGTGCTCGTTGAGAAGCTAGCAGCATGAGCTGCGCCCTGGCTTGTTTTTACCGCGACGCGACGGTCAACGGAGCCGCAATGTCCAGGTCGTTCTGTCTGCCCATCTAACTGTCCAATCTGCTGACCTCTGTTCAGGAGGGTGAGTCGAATGCAAGACAAAGCAATGTCCGGTGACAAGGTCGTGCGTTGCCAGTCGAAGACAAAAAAGAAAGCAGCACAGTCGGGACAAAACAATCACGTCCATGTTTGCAAACAACTTCTTCGGGCAAGGGCCAAGATGCCGTAGCTGCCATTCGCGTAGCAACTTCCGCAGCTCTCAGCCCGCCAATTGCAGTCGGTCGAGGCGTCTCAGCGCGCGTCAGACGCACAGCAGCCGCATTGCCTGGCATTCGGAACAGCAAATATGCTGTTTAATTCAACATGACCGCTTTGATTGTTTGTTTATTGACACGTTTGATCCGTGCGACGAGGTTCTGCGAGTGTCTTCTTGCCTCGCACACACACACACACACACTGCTTACAAACTCCGCGCATCCACTTTGCACCAGGCTCCCTATCATGAATTTTGTTCTGACCCCGGCATATTCGTCCCGGTTTGGTTTGCCTGGGCCCAAGGTTGCGCCCCATGAGGTGCACAGAACTTCACCTGGGTGGTGTTGTGTGGCCCTGCCCAGCGGCTGTTCTGGAAAGCCCTTGGAAGGTGACTGCTTATCAAACTGAGGTCTAACATGAAGTGAAACACCAAAAGCCCCGTCCCCTTCACAAGTGACCTTTGGTGTGACCCAAGTGAAACCCCAAAAGCCGCTACCTTCCCAAAGGTCACACCAAAGGCAGGCCGGCCCTTGCAGCCACACGCCAAGTATATCAGCCAAGCCGGAGGCAAAGTTGGCATTTGACACGTCCTGACTGGTGGGTGGGTGGCAAACACGGTTTAAGTGTGTCCTAACACTGGCACAGCTGACCTGCTGTTTGGGAGGTTCTGCGTAGTATGCCGAAGGTTTAACATCTGGCGAAACAAGTCTGAACTTTCTGTTTACCAACAAGTTCATTTCCCCAAGTCCAAAGTTCAGGGAGCGAGACATCTGCTTGAAGCTCCCATCGGACTCTGCGAGCGCCTCTACTCTTGTCTCTGCAGCTTCTTGTCCTTGAAGCAGTTGAAATACCTCCAATGCGAGCGATTAAACGGAAGCTTGCAAGAAGGGACTTGGACATAGGAAAAAAACGCATAATATCCTTTTTGGGGCCATTAGAATGGAGCAAACAAAGCTTAGTTGGGAGGCAATGCCACATCAACTGTTCGAGATACCAGCCGCGCCTATCTTAGTTCCACCGGTCCCATTGTTTATTGTCAAAGTCACCCAAGTGCCAAGCAGTTAAAAGAAAAAAATCGGTTTCTGAGTCCGAACTTGTTGCAACCTACATGACTAGTTGGTGTTGATGTGATGCCGCACCGACCAACACGAAATGGCACAACCAAAAGGCCAAAAGGTTGGCTTTGGGCAAGTGCATGGACATTTTAATGGACGGGCTTTGAAGCAAAGGTAACCCTGCCATAGGTGGATGTGCCCCCCTCCCATTCGGCACGCACTCATGTCCAAGACCTGAGGGCGAACGGGGGTGGACAAAATGAGTGGTCCTTGCTGGTATCCCCTTTAGAAGGCAACACAAAGGTCCACAGGGACCATCTTTTTACCAACTTTCCCCCTGATACCCTTAGGATTAAAGTAAGTGCATATGCGCACCACCTGCTCGCATCACAGCCCGAGGCCAGTAGTGAAAGAAGGGGCAACCATCAAGCTAACATCGCCCCTCTCTGTTTGGTTTGGTAGGCAACTTTTGTTCACAGGATCCCAAGTATCCCTTATGATCCTTAAAAGCGCAAGTCCTTCACCAACCTCATCGAATTGCTCAGTCATGTGTTTCATGCACGCCTACATTATATTATACATCATCGTGTACAAGGGCAGCGCTACGTCGCGCCAAGTGCTTGGCATTATTCTGTCCAGTCAGGGAAAAAAAGGACACGGGCTGACCTTGAAGGGCGCTCCTTCGGAAAGGAAAGCGGAATACCACTGGGCAATCGGGTTATTAGAAGTTTTGGCGGGAGTAAAGTCCTTGGGCAGCCCCAAAAAACGCTAAGTGATTACTCTCACTTCTGTGATGCCTCGAGTTTTCAGGAAGGCCGTCCCCACGAACCTCTCTTAGCAAGGTTCCCAGTGCAAGTCCCCCTTCCAACTCAGATGCCCAGTGCCAATGGAAAAAAAGGCATCCTTTTCTGGTTGTTTGAATTTAAAGGAATCGGAACCCTTTCCAAAAAACAGGAAAAAAGCGGCGGAATCCACTGGGCAAGTGGGCGGATGTGCCCAAGCCCTCCACTCCCAGCCCCTTGGGATCGGAGGCGCTGGTTGGTGAAGTCCATGAAAGCGCCGAAGACTCCCAAAAAGCCGACCTGAGAAACCCAAAAGCGCTGGGTGAGGTTCCCACATCCCCAAACCACCTTCTAGGTCCTCCAGTAGAGAGGTTAGAATAAGGGTGCAGTTTTTTCAGTGGTCTATTTTAGTAGGGGAACCCTCCCCCAAAAAAGAAACGGGAAAAGGACACTACTGGGGGACCTAGCCTTAAAGGGGTTGCGGTTGCAAAACACCTGCTAGGTCCACAAGTATGGAGATGTAGTGTCTAGAAACCAGCTGGGAGTTTGGTCCGGCTTTTCAATGTCAAAAGGTAAACCCTCAAAGAGCCCTGCGAGTCGGCCAATGTCACCACAGCCTCCTGAAAGGTAAGGCTAGAACTCAGCTGAACTAGAAGAGAGTCACAATCAAACGGAGTCTTTGCAACCCTTTCCCAAAACTCAGAAGTTGAGATGCTTAAAGCAACCCTAATAAACGTTGCTCATTGCGTGCGTTCTTTGGAGGCGCCTTCGGGGTGGGAGTCGACTCTGGCGCCTGAGCTGTTGCTGAGCTCCCCTACCCCTTGCTCCGTGACCTCTGGCTCCGCCTGACAGACATCGGACATCGGAACTCGGGAGTGGTGATCCGGGATCGGAATGGGAAACCCGCAGGGTTTTGGAATGGACGGACAAATCCGCGGCAGACATACCCAACTTCACCTATGGCATCAGTAAAGCCAGGAAAACACGAAGATGCTCGACTTCACCAGCCTCTTGGATTTTCTGTTCTTGTCAGGAAAGGCTCATTCTCAAGCCCCTTGCTAGGCTTGCTTGTGCTCAGTAGGAAATGAGCAAGAAAAACCACTGAAGAGATGCTCAACTTGGCTTCAAGAACAAATGGCCAGGATCCAAACTGCTAAACGCTAAACGGGCATCTCAGAACCGGAATCCAGTTGATCAACGGGGGTGCAACCTCTTTCTTGGTTCGCTGACAGAAAGGATCCCTTAAGGACTTTGAAGTTCAAGGCTTCCCTGTGTCGCGAGGCAATCCCTTTGAGTGCGAACAATAGACCAACACAGGAAAGGTATGTGGTAAAACTGTCTCGCATAATCGCCATGCATTACACCCCGCCAGGCATATTGGCCGAAACAAAAATATTTGAAACCACCAAGTGAAATATTGAGGAGCCCAGGGTTCACCCAGGACGTCAACTCCTGTGGGAATATTCCATGTTCAACCCCGCCTGGGCCAGCGCAGATCGGGCCGCGATGATGGTATCCTAACGGCAGACCCTTGGCTCAGGACCGTCTCAGCTTGGAGGTAAGCTCCAGAACTCTCCAAAATGATCCAACAGAACCAGGAAGGAAAGGGAGACTTACCATAAAATCCATCATGCTCAAGTCCGGCTTTAGAGCCGTAGATGAGTGAAGATGCCAATATGGATCTCCTTAAGGCCGAAACTTTAGTGCTAGTGGTTGCATCCTTTGCAACTAGCTCAACTCGCATCGGATCGGCAAAGCATCCGACGTTGAACGTGGCCCCGCCTTGGCGTTCTGGAAAAGGCTGTCGCGCTGGTCCTGGAGTTCATTGGAGCTCAAGCGCGCGGTTTTGCGCGGCTAGAATAACGGGAAAACAACATAAATCGCTTTCCCTTCCCTTTCTTTTAAGCTGGTCAAACGCGTGGGAAATCATTTCTCTGGCCATGAAAAACTGGATAACTACCACTATCCCTATTTTACATCTACTTACAAGTATAAGGCCTCGTCGACTGAGATGAAAGGTGCTGCTTCCCAATTTTGCGGGTGCATCGGGCTCGCAAGTTTGAATGCTGGCCTCAACCAACCCGACCAAGCTGTCGGGGGAGAGGGGGGGGGGGGGCCCAAATGGACGAAAAGGGCAAACTAACATTCCGGGGCCGAAGAAGTTCTTTAAGGGTGTCCCTCCCTCCAAAAAGCTCCATGACCGCTGACTATGTCGTTGCTTTAGCTGGGGTTCGGACAGCTACAAGCCAACGAAGGGCTTCAGTGATTGCAGCTGTTGGAGCATTGGTGTAGATTGCCTGGGTGTTGAAATTCGTTCTGTGATGTGAAGTGCTGCCAGCCCGGAACCCGCTCTCCCCCACAGACCTTGGCAAGTTCCCACAGCCGTGGCAAGACCAATGCCTGACTTTTTTTCGTCTGTTTCTCCTGCGCATTGTTCAGGGGGAGAGAGACAGGGAGAGAGAGAGAGAGGGGCGAAAAGGCTCTCACCCCATGGCACGAATCGGGTTTCAAACACGAATTGATCTCTGCAAAAGTTGGTGACATCTTTGGTCTCCCTCCAAACAGCAGAGGCTTCCCCATGAGTGTGGCAACCCGGAAGCACTTCGACAAATTCTTCTCACAATGTGAAGCACTTCAACAAGCGATGACACATCTCCAAGGTAGCGTGTGTCTCTCATCCGTGCAACAGCTTTTGTTTATATGAATTGATGCAGACATGTATCAGATTTGATTCTGCAAACTGCGTCATCGCAGTTTAGTCTCCGCCGTGCTGAGGCCTCCGCGACATAACCTTGCTATATGGAATCCATGTGTGTGTGTGGCTCATACTCCCGACGTGGCTGGCTTCCCTCATCCCCAAGAAAGGCTGACAAATCCAAGAATGACACATCCACGGGTGTGGTTGCCGTGTCGAGGCTACGTTTAGAAGGCTTGCTTTGGAGCGAAATTCAAAAGGGAAACACCAGCATTTTGAGACATACCACATCTTCCTCAGGCGTTTGACCAATCCCATCTTCACCGGTCCGAGTAAATGTTGAACTGCTCGTCCTGGCAGATCCGTTTGCTCAAGCGAACGCGGACTCCATGCCATGAAACCGGATGTGTCAGAAGCCGAGAAGTGGCGCGTAGGATTGGTGTCCTTTGAGTTCCATACGCGTTTCTCGAGGTCTGCTTTCAAGGGAAAGGGACAAACAAAGCAGCTCTGCGTAGCTCTAAAGGAAGAATCCCAAGCGTGCAGCAGGGTCTGGGCAGGAACTTTAATTCGGGGTTCCCTCATGAGACAAACCCATATCAGATTGATATTCAGCTCGATGGAGTGCATGCGTCATCAGCTGGAGTGAGCTGGAGCTCCTTATTAAAAAAAAGACAACACCCAGGGCGGCGAGTGAGTTTGAATGACTTATTTAGGCCTGGTTGGTTTGCTCGGATTGGGTTTGCTCGGATTGCCGCTTTGGGGATTTCCCATTGCCCCTGCTTGGTTTACTCGGATTGCTGCTTTGGGGAGTTGAACTCGCAGTTTGACCTTTTACACCGTGTCTACCACAGATGTTGCAACTAAACACAGATGCCGTCTATGCAGGTCCACACTAAGTAAAAATTACAAATGTAAGTTTTTAGCTGTCGTCCCAAACTTAGTGCATGAGCTTTGCGTTAACCAAGCTTCGAACCCGAGCTTCGATGCTGGGCCGGTGGTTTGAACAAATCCTGCAACCAACCCTTCCATTCTGCCCCTCCCCTTATCCCATAGGTCCTTGGATCTGGTGGTTCAAACATGTTTCTTCCACGCAACCCTTCCATTCATCCTCCCAACCCCCCCCCCCCCCAACACTTTTAACACCAACACCCCTAATCCCCCCAAAAAAAAGCTACCCCTTTATCCCCCCCAACCCTTTCAGGGTCAACCGCTGGCCCCCCACCGCGGCCGCGAAAGCGTGCCGGCATCGCTATGGCCTGGTGCAGCGCGTCTGCCGCCAACGGGGCCATCTGTCCAGTCGACCGAAGCGCTCGAAGCGAGTTCTCCGCTGGCTGGCCCGGAGGAAAAACACGTTTGGTGGGGGGGGGGGGGGGAGGGGAAAAACAACAAACAAAACATGAAACTAAGAATGAAGGTTATGTATGTTTACCGAACAGGAGAGCCTGGTAGTGCGCTTTTTGCGCGTTTTGAGGCTTGCAGTCTTCTCATGGGTCAGCCATGCTTTAACTGCAAATTATCAAATTTGTCTCAACGACAAATGAATACTGGAATCAATAACTAGACGAATCCCGAACAAATGGACGCACGTGTTCCTGTCTCCTCTGCTGCGTCTTTGATTGCAGAAGAGAAGTCTAGAGTCTAAATAAGATGAAAGTTGCCATCAATGAGCGCAAATCCCAAAACATGAACTAGAAACGAAGAGGCCTTTCTGATTTACACATGACCCAAGCAACTCATCCTATATCTTCTGCTCGAGCTGTAGCATAGACATTGAGCAGGCAAGGAGTCATTCACAAAGAACATCAACCAATATGAGGGCCCAAACAGTTAAAACACCACCTTCAGTCGTGATTCCAGGGAACATGCCAAATATTGCTATGAGTCATTATTATAGACTATAGAGAACATACTAATTGTTGGTATGAGTCATTCTAAGCGCCGTCTGGCCGCCATCAACCAATTTCCCTAGCCCCGCCGTGGTTGCTCCCCTGGTAAAAGTTTAACTTTTTGTGGTTTGATGGAACACCCCTGAGTTGGCCAAAAGTTAAAGCCCTAACATTCCTTGGCAAAATGCGCCAAAGGAACCGACCCCTCCGCGCCGGCGTGATCTTTGCCAGCGCGATGGGCAGTGCCAGCGCAGGGTCCGGCATGGCGAGTCGGCAGCTCCGGTCCTGCGTTCAACCGGCTGGCCAGGTGGAGCTGAAGAAGGGGCCCCTCAGCACTCCTAACACAGATGGATCTACAGGAATCCTTACATGAAAAACACCTGAACATTGCAACTTGTAAATGGTGGTTTCACTTTATTTTGGTGGAAAAAACAACATGTTTCAAATGGTTGCAAAATGTATCTTTTAAGGAGCCCTGATCTAGACATGTATATTTATATAAATCTATAATATCTGTGTGAAAGCTATGTCCCATACTTCAAATATGCAGCGCAAGAGGCCCTGTGGCTTTCTACTAAGATGGTTCTAAAGGCTTAGATAGGGCAGATTTCAACTCTACCTCAGATGAAGACCCCCCCCCGCCAGGGAAGACTCCTGTCTGGTTCAGAAGAACTGGTTGGCATATGTCGGCATCCTGGCCAATAGAACACAGTGGCCAGCAAAGGTTCTCAGTGCTCATGGCAAAGAGTGTGAAAGAGGGTGAGGTCTGTGCTCCACTTGCACGTTCCAAACCTTTCCAACTCATGATCTTCCTGAGGAGAAGCCGAAACCCGAAACCGCTCAACCCCAGCATTGGATCCCCGTAGCTGCTGTAGAAGGCAGGGGGGGTGCTTATATATGTCAAACGCTGTCCTTTTGGCTTTCCGTTGAACAATCCAACAAGGGCTTATTTCTCGCGTATCGCCCAGATCAAGCCTCAGCTTGCCGGACTGCTACGGAATCAGGGAAACTCTGTGTGTGTGTGTCATTTGTTTGGTAGGGCTCACTTTTTTGGGCCCAGCCGGTGTATTCAGATCCAATCCCGCGAGATGCCCACCCACCCGCCTCAGCTTCAAGCGCGCGGGCGCAGAGGCGCAGAGGCTCGGCTCGGGCTCTGCGCTCGAATCAGCCACACACCCCGCGGACTTGGCCGTTGCGTCGCAAAAGCAAAAGAGGCTCTTGACCTGTCGGTCCCGGGCTTCACTTTTTAGGGGTTGATTCCCTCAGGAATTCGTTTTCGAAGATGTGCGGACTGATCCCCGTCTGGAAGAAGGTTGATTCCATCTCCATTCTTTTCAACCATCTTTCTGTTTTACAAACACCGGATCCGTTTCTACTTGGTTTTTGAGGGTTTCCTGAAACCTGGAAAGAATGGGGAAGGTACCCGTAGATGTGTGGACTTCTCCCTTTCTTTATTATACCTTGATTGGCTCAAAACAAGCTCCTTGTGGAAGTGGAGTGGCTTCGTGTTGCGCCCCAACGCAAATGTTCAACAACAGGGTCCCAAGTGCGGCTTTGTTCGTTTCTGCGCTTCCCAAATTGCCGACAAAGATGGATTCGGGTGCAATATGATAATCAACATCAGATTGGGGCGGAGCATGGACCCCTTGAGATCACTCTAGTTGCTCAATGCCATGGTACGAGCTTGCCCATAGAAGACAGGCAGCAACTGCAACTCCTTCCGACCCTAAGTGTGCCAAACAAAACCTTGCAGCTTTGAGGGTTTTTTTTTACCAGCGCTGGTCAGCTTAGGCTGACAACATGCTTTGAGGTTTGGAGGCAGACTCGTCGAAGAGCGTCTGGCTCGAAACCTCAAAACATTGTCAGCATAAGCTGGCCAAAACCGGAAGAAGCATCGCCTGCTTCTGGTTCCATGCCAGTTTGGGGAGGATCCGAGTTGCGTGCAAGCTGGGGGGGCACTGGCGGCGAACGCAATGTAAGGACAAAGGGGTCCTTCCACACGACCATCGGTACACCCTACAGATCAACATGAAACCAAACATTTAAGAACGTGCTTTTCTAGGGGAAAGTCCCCCCCTTTTTTGGCTCCTTTCGCCAATTTGAAAGGTAGTGCTGTGTATAGTCGAGACACGGTGAGTCCATGGTAACCATTGACCAACCACAACAATTCCGGGGGGTGGTCCGACAAAAAGAGGGGAAGCCCCTCTACGTATCAAAATGGAGACCTGATTAAAAACTCTCGGCTGCCCTTTGTGGCCTTCCGAAAATGAGCCTGCTAGAGGGCCCTGGACTGTCCCGAAACGTCGAACCCTAGTCCCGAGCGGTCCCTTTGCAACTTGTTGGAGCTGAGTTTGGCATACCTCCAGGCAAAAAGAAGAAGAAGCAACTTTTGGAGGGGTCCCTGGCTACCTTTTCAACTTGAAAGGGACAACCCTAAAGCCTATCAGCTTGAAGAACCACATTCCAAGGACTTCGCCCTGCGCCTTTTTGCAAATCCAAAACGCAAAGCTTCTGCGGGCCCGGCTCCACCCGGCCCTCGCGGGGTCGTGGGCTCTCTGTTTACCTTTGCAAAGCCTTCTAGAAGGTTTCTTTGCGGAACCAAACAAGGAGTCCTCAATTTGACAAATCGTTTGATTGTGTCGTTTTTGACCCAACCAATTCTTTACGCTTATCAGGAGCGGCTCATGCGCGACCCAAGCAACTGCCGGAAACATTGGAGATAAGCCTAAAGGAAACCCGGAGATAGCCGTGAATTGCTCAAGCAAAGTCTTGATGTCATGTCTGCCTCGAACACTGGCCCGCTCAATCCCTATGTTGCAGAGCATTGCTTTGGTTCCAGCCGCCAAAGACAAACATCAAGATGGCGATGCTCAGCTCAAAGCTCGGGATTGGACAAGTTGACAAGTTGAGACTGAGAGAGCCCAGCTCGACCCAGCAAGTTCCTCTGGAAACCCTCGGGCGCCAACTGCCCGCCCGAAGGACGAGTGGCGCGGTGGCAACCGCCGTGCGCCGGCTTTCGGGATAGCGATAGACACAAAACACAGAGAACCAATACATGTCATGTCAGTTCACAAACGTCTGGGGCAAGGCGAAACATACGCTAAAAACCGGCGGTGCAGTGCGCCATTCCTTCTGCCAACGTTTATTCTTGCGCGCCCTGGATGAGTAGCGCGGGGCGAGACAGCCGCGCCACCTATTCTTTGCCTGAGGGGAATGGTTGCAAGTTGAAAGATCACAAGAACACTTCCTTTGCGACACAAATACAAGAGTCGGCCTTATCCACCAACAGTCGACCCTGTTCTACAGAATGCTCAAAAGGCTATTCAAATCCAACTTACCTGCAGAGGTTTGAAGACCCGCTAAGATAAGTTTGCGTTGAAACCCCGCAACCCCTACCCGCTCTATTTCGCTCAAAGGGTCAACCCTTTGATACCCCCTTGACTAAATTCAAGAGGCTTCCAACAAAACCTTCTGGCGTGTCTCAATCGTCCTTGGCACACATCCTTGACCCGTGTGGCTTCAACTGACAGCGCGCAAACAATTGTGGGCAATCAAACTCTGGGCTTTGCAACTCGCCACGCACCATTAAGCAGAAGCCGCTTGCCGCTTAGCGACGCCTTCAGCGGCCCCTTGTGACTTGAAAACAAGCATAAGAAAACCAGCCCCGGGCCGCAATTGCCGTAAACTGCACACAACACAAATGAGAAAGGTGCCACTGGCCATTAACCCTGAGTCTTTCTAAGGCTGCCTGGATCTTCTACTGATCAAACGGGCCTATCAACAGAAGTATCAAAAGCAAAGGCCCCCCCCCATTCTTGATGGAGGGTTTTCGACGCCACGGCTTTTCAACCGGAGCTGGTGGACTCCGATACGACGCGCTTCCGACCGACGAAAAAGGACCTGAACTGGCTGCTGCAAGGGAGCGGTAGGCAAATGGGTATGTGTCAAATAGGGACTCGGGCCACAATGTCTTCCGCTTTCCTGTTTTGCAAACTAATTTTAGGAGAAAAAGAAGAAGAAAAAACAACGCAAACACATAATACTGGTCCTCCTGGTACTGGTCTTCCAATCACCCCCTCTGGTTCCATCCTAGGATGAAATTCTTGACCTTGACCCCCATCTTTTCCAAGTGTACCGCAAAAGCCAACCTGGGCGCAAAACTGGCCGGGGGGGAGGAAACGCAGTGTTTGTGTCAAATGGGGAAGCCCCCAAAGAATGGCCTGGGCCTTCCTTTTGCATTCAACATATTCAACCAAAAAAAACATCCAACAAGGGTACCAACTCGGAAAAAGGAAAAAACAACATTGTATTTAATCAAAACAACATGCTTCCCTTTGCGCCCCAAAGGTTCATTCTGTTGCCTCACAGGACACCCTCGCTCCCGAAAAGCACCCACCACAGGCGAATCGGCCGGGGAAAAGCCCAGAGATCCTACACATGTGCCGGCCGGCAAGGGAGATCCGACTGTGGCCATCAAAACACCCACTTTAATCCCTGAGACGAAACGAAGCCTTGAAGCAAAGATCTCCATGTCCGGCCTGCTTTGGCGGCACCCAACACAGCAAGCCTGTGGCTGTAGTCTGCATGCTGCTTGTCAAAAACCCTCGAAGTTGTAGCATCGTTCAAGGTGTGAGGCGTTTGCTTGAGTCTGCCCTCGCATCCCCACTTCAAGGGTAATGGGTGGGGGCTCCCAAATGCAATTTTGTCTTCCAACCACAAAATCGACACTAATTATGTTGTAGCTTGAATCGCCTGACTTGTTGCTTGGTGCATTGCTATTCAACCAGTAACCTCCCAAAATGCTGGTACACCAGACAAGGGCTACTGACAGACTACTTCAGCCGTGTTTTTGGTGGCGCCCTCGCAGTTTTTTGGTTTTTCGGATCCCTAGGCCATGGCATCGGACTGCTTCGCAGGCCGAATACCTCTTCTCCGCTCACATGAGGGGGCGTGGGCCACGGTCAATCCCAGTGCTTGTAGCCACCCCTCCCAGTTGATAAGGTCACCTGGGTACCTCCTATGAAGGAGGTACATGGGAACACATCTCTACGAGTTGCTACTCACCAGGCTAATCCAGGAATCTTTAGAGACCTTCGTCATACCCAATTTGGCGAGCTCGATATAATTTGTTATACAATATGCAAGAGGTAATGCAAGGGACATGAGGAAGCCTGGGTTGAACAAGAACTGTCTACAGCCGTTGCCCTAGCGATTGTGTGGCGGAAATCCTCGTAGAGCTTTGAAGGGAAACACGCCAGAGGCAAGGGTGACGAGACCCTCCGAATCCCAAAGTCTGGAGAAATGTGGCAGTGACGGGTTGACCTTCGGCCCGTGGCCCAACAGGTTCGAGAATGACCTGAGCAACCACTGCAACCTACATGCAGGACATGTTTCAATCTGCAGGGTTCCTCAACGCCCGCAGATCGATTTGGCAAATCGAGGCACACACGCAGCAAATCGCCGGGGGTAGATCGATCGCCATGGGCATATATCGATGTGGTAGAAAGAAGCTTGGTGGGCATGGAACAGGAAGACTCAGCAGTTGGACAAAGGATTGGGCCAACGTGGCATCTGGGTGGGCTAACAGAACATTTGGCAGCTCGCCGGAGGAAAAACAAACACACACACACACACACTCACACATCCTTGAGGTTGTTGCTGCCGGCCCAGGCAGACTTAGGCCATGATATGCGTAGCTTCCCGAACAAAAAGGGGACATCTCGAAAATCTACTGGATTCGTTTTAGTACAAGTATCCACTGAGTCAGTTGCAACTTCCTGGCGTCGTCTTTTCAGGGACACCGGAAGCCGCACCAATGACACCACGGCATTTCCGTGCGGGCTCTAACCCAAAGCTACCCTCTCACTGGCATGTGAAATGGTGCTAGTCATGATACCGATCTTTCACATTTGAGCATTGCTTTTTAGAGGTTCAGGGCTTATAATTACACTGCTGGGGAGGCTACGCCAGGGGCTTCGCGGGGCCAGAATTCGTGGAAGGGTTGGCTTCGAGGCTTCGCGGCAAGACTGTGGCTTCGCGGAGTGGCTTCGCCGTGCTTCGCGGACGTTTGTTCCACAAACATCTCTCACGCTTGCGCTCTCATTTAGTTGTGAGTCTATGTGAAAGGGAGCGAGGCGTTGAGAGAGACATTGAGCCTCAGGACTAGGAGACATGTCTGGGCCTCAAAGGGGCGGAGCGTGGAAGTTGGACACGCGGAAGCTTCGCAAAGGCTTCGCGAAACTGGTCTGAAACGCAGAGTACTCTTCCGGTCGTCCTCCTGTGGTCTGACTGTAATCTACTGTAGTCTTGTCAGAGTCTTCCAGCCATCTGAAAGTGACTCTAAACATCAACCTTATGCTACTGCCATGAAAGTACATAACATACTATAACCACGAAGTGGCTTCGCAAAGTGGCTTCGCCTGTGTCCATGTTACCGGGCTGCGCGAATTGGCTTCGCGGTATCACAAGTGCCTTTGCGGACCTTTTGGGAGTTCCTCTCGAAGCAAAAATCCATCATCTGAGAAAAAACACGTTACTCATTCGTCTCAAGGATATCTTGCAACATGAGATGTGAACAAACTCCACTCAACAACACAAAATACGCCTCACGCGATGAGTCAACATTTCACCTCGCTCGCGGGCTACCCCCGACTCGGTTCAGATCAGATCCACTGGCAGCGAAGTTCTCGCAGGGCGCCTGCCGCTTGCAACCCACTCCTTTTGAACCGAACCCGGTAATTACCGTCGTCCGTCTTGTTTGGAGTTGCCCCGTCTGGGGGGCGATGCCATCTCCTCCGAAGTTTGGGGTGTTGGTGGTGTGTTTGGCGTTGACGAGCTTCAAGAGAAAGCTGGCCTCCCACTCGCTGTTCTTCTGTCTTCGGCATGGAGAAGGTTGCGAGATATTCTTGCCACGCCCAAAAGTTTGCAAGAGAAACTGGTATGAGGTCTCAAATTCCCGGGGGGGGGGGGGGGGGAAACCGAAAACGGTTGGCTTCCATCTGGTTTCCCTTTTAACCAGCCTTTTAGCTTGCTGGATCCGTAACATGGGAACCATCCACCTAGTCCTCTGAACGGTTTTTGAGCTTACCAGGCCCTAGCTATGCTCCATGCGCCAACACTCATGGTGCAGCAAAGCCCATCAAACTCATCCAGACTAATCATGCGTCTTTATTCACTCTGAAACCGACCTGCTGAATTTGGCGCGGTGCTCGCACCTCGGAAGCAAAGCCCGCAGACCACCGGAAGCTTTTTGGAGCCCGGCTCTTGGTTGCTGTTGACCCCCCTGCAAAAAGTTTAACTTTTTGGGGGTTTAGTGGAAAACCCATTGATTTCCCAAAAAGTTAAAGTCTAAAGATCCAACCCAGTAGCAGTCAAGGGCTTGAGCCCTTCGCCCGCTTGTTTCAAGTCCCTCTCCGAAACCGCTTGCCTCGCGTCAGAGCAAATTTATCTGGCGGCAGTCGTGGTGCGGAGGCTCTTGGCCGGTGAGGAGCTTTTCCACATGCGCGATGCGCTCCTCGGAAGGAGTCGGGAGCAGCATGGCTTGTGCCTGGCTAAAGAAGAGGGAAATCAACTGGTCTGGCGCCCCAAAGTCTTACATGGCAAACTGAGGTTGTTCCTGGTCATCTGAGTCTGATCCAAAGAGATGGAAATCTGAGCCTATCAAAAGGAACCCCAGACACGAGGCGCATACCTGTGGCTCTGGGTGGGCCACTGACTGGCGGGCGATTTTGCCAACAAGGGCCGACTCTTGCTGTGTTTTTGGATGGTGCGAGGCAACACGAAGCATCAGTTGCTTGTTCCCTGCCAGCCTTCCAAGGTATGTATGGTTGGAAGAGGATCGATCAGCCCAAAGTCCCTACTGAGAACACACAAGCTACCGCAGCATCAGCTGATCCGTGCTGCGTTGCATCGGTCTTTTGTCTCTGGTCTCGTGACAAAGTAGTCATTGATCTATATGAACCCGTGTGCTGTAGTGGAGTTCCTGAAATCAGTCGACAAACTTTGGCAACACAGCAAAAAGTTTGCTGTTTCTCACTATGTTTGCAGAGGTGATTGAAAAGATGCACATCAACCTTATACCTCGCAATCGCACCACAGGCGAAATATGGCGAAATAAAAATACAATTTAGATATATATATATATATAAATCACCGTCGGCGACCAGCAAAGCCGTTTCGCAAAGTAATGATTGGATTATACCTGAACTAGATACCACAACTAACTAACTTGAATTGAGGAATCACTTTTCTCCCGTTAACAGTCCCAGGTGATCCATCGCAGTCGGTTAATTACTCCACCCCTCGAGGTCCTATGAGAGCTTCCGTCAGCGACCTTTGTGAAAACGCAGCTCCGAGTACGCGAGCTGTCTGCCAGTGGAACTCCGCAACGAGTCGACCCAACAAAGCTCGGAGAAACAACCAAAACACTCTCCACGCAAGTCTGTCATAGAAGAAATGGGCGGAACTCGCCCACATGCGTAGGTTCGGAATCTGTTCAGAACGGTCCTCCCCTTCTTGATTTGTTTTGTGTGTTTTTTAATTGGGGGGAATCAACCAGGGTTCCTGGAAGGATACGTCTAAAAGAAACACCCGCTTTTCAAGGGTGCCGAGCCTCTAAATCAACTGGTTTCTGGCTTCTGGCCAAAATAGGATCCGTTGCAGGCCCTGGGAAGTACGTAAACTTCTTGAACCCCCTTCGAAACTAGTCTTTCCAGTGCCCTGAAAAGAGTGTTTCAGAAATGTTTGGATTAACATAATATGTGCGGTCAAAACATGTTACATGATGTTACGTGGCTGCCAAAGTAAGACACTTCCATCCGGAAACTAGCTAACCTAATCTCCCTGTAGGGATTCCGGACACTAACCTTGTTCAAAGTAAAGAACTCTTCATAGCATCTTTGGACCCTCGCCAAAGCAAGATTAGGTCCTCCAGTAGAGAGGTTAGAATAAGGGTACCAACTTGTTTCTGTCTATTTTAGGGGGACCCTCCCAACCAAACAAGAATGGACAAAAAAGTTGGCACCGATCGCTGGACCTAGAGGAAGGGCAAGCTTCGACCAAGTGCTCGATCTCGGTCAACACGATGTGCACATCAACGCCCTTGGCCTGAAAGCGCCAGAACGTTCTCACCAACTGCTCAGTGCTTGGGATCCGGGAGGGCCGATCAATCCGAAGAAACCCGAGAAAAAAACCAAGGGATACCAAGGGATACCAAACGCCTGGCAAACGCCTGGTGTTCTTGGTTGAACAAACAAAATGAGGAATCAACTCGGAGATATACGGATTTGATACGGATTTGGCAGAAGAGGATTGCATGAGACTTGATAACCATCAAACGGATCTGCTGCGAACGTCGTGGATTTTCCGGAAGGACCAAGCTCCAAAGCTCCAAAGGTCCAAAGTCCCTGAAGAATTCGTTGCAGAATCAAGAGCCACAGCCATCGCCTGGAAAATCATGGCCAGATGCTACAACATCACATTCAGTTGGAACCCTCCTGTTTGCAGCTGTTGCACTTGCCTTCTTTTCACTTGTCCAACAACAAAATCAATCTCGCTAGGTCCTCCAGTAGAGAGGTTAGAACAAGGGTACCCTTTTGGTGTAGTCTTTTAGTAGGGGAACCCTCCCCCAATACTGGGGGACCTAGCTCGGGAAAGAGGCCGCTTGCAACCCAAGAGCCCAGGCCAGCACAACCTTCAGATGCAAACGACTTCGCGCGCACTTGGACATCCAGCAACTGGTTTTCGCCCCAACAAACAACATCTTGTTTGGCCTTTTTTCCATAGATTTATTGATAAATAGCAAATATACTACATGTTTTACTTTTTGGAGACAGCAGCCAGTGATTTACTCGCAGGCGACCCATGCTAGAAGCAAAGGCGGCGAAGTCCGTTCAAGTGGTGCCACAAAACTCCCAACATGTGGGACATGTCCCTTGAACATCCTAATAGTTGTCTAAACGTCAACTACTCATTTGGCGTCATTGATGTGGGTTGTATCTATGCAACCAAGCAAGTTTGTGAGATTCCAACAATCAAATTCCATTGTGATATCGACCCCAAGCAGGATTGACCCCCCCGCACCACTGCCTGCCCCTTCATGCGCTCGCAACCCGCAATGAACTCCCGAAGCGTGATCTCCCCAGAGCCTCTCAGCGAAAACTGGACAGGAAATGGTAGGGCTTGGGCACACATGCTTAAACGATTGGTTGAGACGCTTTGAGTATGGGGTGGGACAGTGGGAATGAGCTCTCAGCAATCCCAGCTTAAAGGCCTCAACCATAGGTCACGACCTCCAAATGCCAAAAACTCCTTTGCTGAACCAGCATCTTCGATTTCCCCTTTGCATGCCGGTAGCTCAAAAAGGGGTTGGTGGAATGAAGGCCACGCAAGTTGTTCGCCCACTTCCGAGTCAACAAAATTACTTGTCATAGGCTTACCTGAGCTTGGGGACTGAACATGTCCACTTGCCATGGGCTGCTGGTTGCTCGTGCGGGCTGGAAAAGATCCATTGATATGCGGAATTATCTGCAGCTAGTCCCATTGCCAGTAGAACATGAACATGGCACGCAGACCGCCTGTAAGCGCGCAACATTAACTCCTACATCAGGGATAGGTTCTCTAGCTCCTGTGCTGACTAGTGCCGTCTCCATAGGCCAAGCTACTGGTGCCCTCCATAGGCCAAAGCAAAACTTTGATTAGTAGGTATGGATTTGGTGGCCAACCGAAAAGACCTTATGCTCAAAGAACAAGAAACGATGGAACATGGAAATGTTCTGCGCGACGTGAAAGCACTGGGTCTGATTGAAAGACGCAGGTTTCACTGAAGCGAGGCATCCATTTCACTCTAGATGCTCACCAACAGCAACGTAGCAGCTTGATGAGACAGCTGCGTTGGCCTAACCTTCAGCAGATGTAGTTGCATGCCAAAGCACCAGGCACACACGTAGTCTATCCCACTCTACTTTATGATATGACCATAGAAAGTGTGATGCACAAGGCAAGCCATAAGACTACTACCCGCAAATGGGCCCCCAACCATCATTCATTTGTTTTAGAACTGTAGCCCCAGTGCAACCAAGCCCCTTGTTGCCACATCTGCTCCTTCATTAAAGGTGAAGGCGAAGCAATCAACGTCGGTGCAAGTTGCAGATGTTCTTTTGGCTCTCATTGCTGTTCTCAACTACATCCAATCCTGCGTCATCAATAACACAACAGGCTTGCCACCATGGTGCTACTCGTGCGAACGCCCAAGCAGCAAATACTAGCTGAACATGAGCTATTCACATGCATAGCTCAGTTTAAACATGTATTGGCCAAGTACACAAATTGAAATCTATATGCAACTTCAAGGAAGCTGTGTAAGCAAACAGGACATCCTTGAACTTTGCAAATAGGGGCCTAACTTCCCGTGACATGTAAATATTATGAATAAGAATCGAATTCATCACAGGGACTGCCAATGACACACTCAAATCATTACCTTTGAAGTGAACATACTCCATGCAAAGGTCACAGACTGAAAAAAAATACAAACAAGCTATAAACAAAACACAGTGGGAAAAAGGGGCCCGTATAGCGTCCCGTTCCGTAGTAATGAGACTCCGATCTGAGTATTGTCTTTTGTGTGTTGCGAGTTGAGCTGCCTGAACATTGTTACATACTTCTTTGGATATGCAGCTTGAGACCCTTGCAAAGGCTTCATATGAGAACAGCTGAGAGTTCAACGTCGGCTTGGATTGGTGGGTTCCATGAAACAACAGGGCTCCCTATCTTTCCCCTTTAAGCATGTACAACGGATATTTGATATTCACCTCAAACTGTGCCAGAAGGTGATGTCTGAAACTACCCACCTCGCTTTTGGAGTGGATTGGCAAAAGCAGGTCTGAACTTGTTGTTTACCACTAAAATGGCCCACCCAACAACTTTTAAAGTCCATAAACTCAGGGAGTGAGCCACTCAGAGGGGACGCCCTCGTTGGAACCGTCCGACAAATCCCCAGCGGGGACCTCTGCATGAGGCTTGGTGCAAGCAAAGAGCCGTCCCTGTCCAGCAGGGCGGCCAGCATGGAGGCGTCTCCGGGGCGGAAGCCGATCATGTCGAAATAGGCCTCGTAGCTGGCAGACGCAGGGGGCCGCGTTAAAGTTTTGCAGGTGTCCTGGAGGGCAAAAAGGGAACGGATTCACGGTTTTTTGGGGGAATTCCTCTTCAGGGGCCGCGCATTTCTTGAGTTCCAGGTTGAGGGGTTCAAGATCATGCCGCTTAGCAGGCGCTGTCCAGTGAGCATGGGAGTTCTGTCTCAACGCGGAACAAAGACTCCAGGGTACTGCAGTACTGCACGCATCCAAGATGGGTTGGTCTCCAAGAAGGAACTGGAGCTTTTTTCAAACAACGACACCAGGGAGTTGCCCTGGCTGGCAAGCGCACCCCGACACCCCGACACATCCTCGGCTCGTGGCAGGGAGCCTATTGAAGGCAATGGCCATCTTAACACCAAGGGCTCCCTGGAAGGTGCCATCTGGCAAAACAACCAGCGGTTCCAAGCACAAACACCACAAGAGGTGCGAGCAAGCTGGGGAGAGACCATCAAAAGAAGCCAAACAAAGGCAGCTGTCCCCCGCAAAGATCATTGGGCAAACCCCCGTCGCCGCGCGGCGCTCATCACAGGATCCGCCAAGAGGTTTTGAATCTCGTCAAGGCTCACGAAGCCATCGCCTGGGACGATCGAACCGTTTGGGTGATTCAACCCCTGTTCAAAAAAACTCCTTTTGGTTTTCCTCTTGCAGGGTCGAGTTTGTCAAACGCCTTGTTGCCACCAACACTGGACGCGGCAAAAGGTGAACGTGCAAAGGTGGCAAGGGCAATGCGCGGGCCTCAAGTTTGGAAACCCAAGTGGTTGGTTTCCTCCTATAGCTTCCTTTTCAAACAAATCCAGCAAAGGGTTTTGCTCTATGAAGGCATACCCTGCAGAAAAGGTTCCTTTCTTGAGAGCATTGATGTCCAGAACAGGCTTTGGGCCTCTCTTTCCCGCAAGCACATCTGCCTCACCTGGGGTTGAGGTGGGTTTTTTTTTTACTAGCCCCGGCTTTTTACTAGCCCCGGCTCGGCACAAGGCCTCCCTCCAAAGAGGTTGGGCTGGGGGTTGGTGGCCGCATCGCCAGCAATACCGGCTTCTTGTCACGGCTGCTTTTGGGACATGACTTGATGCTCGGGATAGCCAGCCGCATCGCCAGCATTACTGGCCTCACTCGGACGAGAGCTGCCTATTGGCTTTGATTTAGTGGCAGTTCAGGGTTGATCGGGGCTGGTTTGGGGTGAGTGTTGGGCTTGCTGAGATATTAATGCGGGCGGGTCTTGGGTTTGTTTGGGGTTCATTTAGCCTCGGCAAAGGGCCGATATGCAGGATGCGGTTGGGAGGGTTTCAGGTTGACTTTGGGTCGGTTTTGGCTTGGTTGGGGCTGATTCGTGCTAGATGTGCGGCTGGTTTAGCCGTGGCTTTCGGGTTGCTTCAGGGATGTGGTTCTCCAAGCCAAAACCGACCCAAAGTCAACCTGAAACCCTCCCAACCGCATCCTGCATATCGGCCCTTTGCCGAGGCTAAATGAACCCCAAACAAACCCAAGACCCACCCGCATTAATATCTCAGCAAGCCCAACACTCACCCCAAACCAGCCCCGATCAACCCTGAACTGCCACCAAATCAAAGCCAACCAGTAATCCTGGCGATGCGGCTGGCTATCCCGAGCATCAAGTCATGCCCCATACGCAGCCGGGACAAGAAACCGGAAATGCTTGGGATGCTGGGGATGCGGCCGCCCAGCTGACCAACCAAGCAACCAACCAACCAACCAACCAACCAACCAACCAACCAACCAACTAACCAACCAGTCTCCGAGCCGGGGTTAAGCCCCGAGCCGGGGCTAGTAAAAAAAAAACACCGGTTCCCTCACCTGAGGCCCATCAAAAACTGACCCTACGTCAGAACTCCTGACCCCTCTCCAGAGTTCAGCAAATCCGTTTAGACAACCAAACGGCCATGGCCCCCAAAGCCAAGAAAAGCTTTCAAGAAACTCTCGCCTGTACACCTATTTGGGGGCAGGGGATCTTAACGTTTAAACCATGGATGTAGGCTAAGTCTTCTGATGTATCCGCTGATTGGGGCCAGGTTAAGGGAAGCAAGGGGAAACCACTCTAAGTTGCGACAAACCCACAACCATACTAACCGCCGCCCACGTCAAGAGAATCCCGAAACCTAGACCAAACTCATACAAAGGAACAGGATCCCACCCCTAATTCTTCCACAAAGGGGAAAACCAAAAAACTCGCCCATGTCTGGTTGGGACTCGCCCCCAACCCCTGGAATGCAGATGGTATCCAGCTCTTGGCCGGTTGACCATGCCCGTTACAGCCCCCACCCTCCCAACATAGAACAAATAAACAAACGAAAAGACACTCACTCAAGAAACACAAGAGCACAAACACCAGTACACCAGTTGCAAGCCACCCAACACAAACAACAAACCAACCAACAAACCAACCGACCGACCGACCAACCAACCAACCAACCAACCCAACAAAGAAACAAACAAACAAACAAACAAACAAACAAACAAACAAACAACCAAACAACCAAACAAGCAAACAAACATACAAACATACAAACAAGCAAACAACACAAAACAAAAACCAAACCAAACCAAACCAAACCAAACCAAACCAAACCAAAGCAACCAACCCAGCCCAACAAACCAACAAACCAACAAACCAACAAACCAACAAACCAACAAGCCAACAAGCCAACAAACCAACCAACCAACCAACGAACCAACCAACCAACCTACCAACCAACCAGCCAGCCAGCCAACCAACCAACCAACCCACCCAACAAAGAAACAAACAAACGAACAAACAAAACAAAACAAAAAAACACAAACAAACGAGCAAGCAAACAATCAAACAAACGACACAGAACCATAAAACAAACAAAACCACGACACCTCCAGTGCCCCGAGGCCAAACCCTCGGGAGGTATTTCAAGGGTCAATCCAGGTCTGTTGCCACAAAGAACTCGATGATCTGATCGAGGTTCTCCTTCTTCTTGTCGATGGTTTCCTCCTTATCGACCAGATGAATCAACCAACCAGTCTATGAATATGGGCGACAAACTCCAAAACAGCTTCGTGGTTTGGGGGGTTCCCCACGAAAAGTGGTCTGAATCCCCACTAAACCCAGAGAAAAGCACACCCCTACTAATAAGCAGAGTTTATTAATCCGGGGCAACATTAGAAACAGCCATGGCTTTCCTCTTTTAGTCAGACAAATCATGACAAATCCATGGGGTTCCTCCCGCTTTGCGTGGGGAACATCCCAGTCTTGCAAACTCGGCTGGCCAACTGGACGTGTCCAGTTCCAGGCAAGCCACACAAATGGGTAACAAAGGTAACCAGGGATGGCTGTTTTCCTATGTGACTGTTTCCCCTGTCCACTAACATGGACCACCAGAATTGGTTCCCTCCAGCATTCTTACATGATCCTTTCCTCCTTGCGGGGACATGCGGGGAAAGTTCTGCTTGTGAGTGGGGCAATGTCGATTGCCTCAGCTGTTTCAATCAGAAATGAGGACATGTTGATGTCCGGTCCTTCTCACTGACACGTCCATGGTTTGCTCCTTTCTGAGTGAAGGATGGAGCAACGCGTCAAAAGGAAGCGGCAGAAACCAAGGTTCCAGTGGAAAGGCTGTGCAAAAAGGAGACAAATAAGAAACCCAAACTTGGATGACCCCCAAAAACAGCAACATTAAAACTAAAAATCAAAAAACAACACACAAAATCGAAGGACATCAAATCAAACTTCATACCCCTTGCCCGGACCCTGCTTAAAGCTGGCTAAAATCCCCATGGCCGACAAGAAAAAACTCAGCGACACCAGGCACATGGCAAGCAGCCTGCAAAACCAGAAGGTGCAAGGCAACGACCAGCCTCATTGACTCTGAGACTCTACACCCAGCCAGCTGGACAGCATTGAGAAACAAACAGTTGGACCTTCCCAGCCTCGCTGTCAAACCTAGCAGCACGTTTGCCCAGTTCTTCTTGGTGTCTTTCGGAAGGAAGCAAACGTCAAACCACAAAGGGCCAAACCCTTGCGGCTACACCCTTTCAAAGGCAGGTCATGAAAATGTTGACCTCCCACCCTGCAGCATCATTTAATATATGGTTGCACCAAATGCTGTAGTTGGAGGCGCCGGTTTTTTCAGATGATGTATCATGTGATGCTGGCAAAGGATGACAAAGACCGCATCATGTTCTATGGTTCAAACACAACTGGCATATAGAATTGAAAACATGAGTCACGACACGAGCTATTCAAAAAAACAAAATGAACACACCCGTCATGAATCCATTCTTGATCCGAGGCGCAATCTGAATCTGCCGCTGCTTCTTGGAATTCTGCAGGGCGTTGTCCACAAACACCCCTGGCACGACAAAACCATGTCTGCACCCTACTGCTCACCAACCAAAGGACCTGGCCAGAAAAAGCCTTCAAAGAGTTCACCATTCTTGGGTCTTTGGGTTCCAATGCCCGCCACAAAAATAACATGAGCACATGAACTTGCGGCAAGCATATAATGGCAGTTGAGGAGAGATGTCCTTTCTATCCACTGGCTGTAAAACAGATCCTTCTTTGAGGATATGTGGAGGCCAAAGATCCGTTTGTGACTCATTGCAGATGCAGGTCTGTCTGGTCCGCTGCGCGAAAAGCTTGTACCTGGACAATGACACAAACAGCAGCACCCCTAACGTGGTGTGATGATGCAGCCGCAATCACAGCAGCACAAGCTTCTTCCACCCGGCAAATCTTTGGAATTCGTCACCACCCCTCGTTGAACCCATTTCTTAAGTTCTTTCACATGCACGGACGTGTAATCCACGGCTTCATAGTTTTCACGGCGCACGAACTGGCAGAAAGTGTGAGCTTCGCCCTGCCTGTGAAGACGTTGAGCAACGCCAACACGGTGAAAATAATGTAGCAAGACATCAGGCCGTAGGAGAGTGCGTCCACGTAGCCCAGCGCATCCATCAACTGGCCGTCTGGCTTACCAACTTGCGAACCCTTTCACGACTTCAACCCTTGCGCAGTGGAAAATGCGCCCTTTGCATTGGAAGTGGACACTGGGAACCTGCAGTTCTCTAAGGACAGTTCAAGACCCACATGTGCAAATGACAAAGTCCGCACCCACATCCAAGCTTCCAAAGACAAGCTCCCGGCCAGCCACTTTAAACATCTCATTTAAACAAATGCTTTGCGCAGTATCAACCCTCAAGACCTGGCCCAGCCCCCATAGAGGTCGTCACCATATACATTCTCATGATATAGCCAGCAACATGCGCTTAAAGCGGGGGGCACGCAAACAGCATAGGCTTCTACCCATCTGTGCGGCAGTGCTTTCTGGAGATCATCCGGTCTCCACGCTTGCAAGGTTGCGGGTTGCTTTAGGTCCATCTGGATGGGCGTTGGGCCGATGAGTCTCGAGCACTCAACATTTTCTGACGGAGATGCCAGCCAAACCTGGATCGACAAAGGCCGCCTTTTGGTCAGTGTACTTAAAGATTTTGTGCCATGCTGTAAGACTCTCAAGATTGGTCTATATAACTCGTTTTATTGCCAGTCGCTCATTTTTTGCAACGACTAGAACGCCAGCCACAAGCACGGGTTCCTCCGCAGCCCTCCATGATTCATTCCAGTCTGGGTTGCCCACTCCTAGTGTCGCACCTTCAGTCGCAATGTGTCGCTGTGCTTCTCTCTACCCTCATTCCTCGGCCGTGTCATCTGTACACAGCGATAAGTTAAGCTGAACACATGTCGTCTACCCTGAAACATGGCCATGGGTCAAAAGCCACCCCCAGTGAACATCCCAATCCAACCACTAAAAGAGACCAAATTGGGTGGTGACTTTGGCCAGTCAACATGTGGATTGTCCGCTTTGGAGACCCTCAAAATTGGTGGGTTTTCCTTTGGTTTCCCTGTAAACCAGCCTAAAACGGATACCATGTAATCATGTACCCTCAAAGAAATGCCAGCTCAGATGCATTAGCAAGACAAGGAAGCACACATTGCCTTTGTTGACAATCACTTCTGTGCGGGGAATGTCCGGGTTTCCCTGCTTCCCGCAGTTTAGACTGTTGGGGATACCACCTGGGCTTATTCGCGTGGAGTAGTTGTCTATCAGCTCTCCCTCCCATGGCGCCCCTGAACCCTTCAGTGGCAGTGGTTTCGTGCGCATTGGGGAGCTTTGCCCAAGAACGTGTTGGAGATGAACCACGCATCTGCAGCACGCAAACGGGTACTGTATTGTCAGAAACTCTCGGTGCAGCGAGCGTTTGCCTGCGTGACTTTTCTCCCCTACTGTCCTGTTCTGCTTCTCGTTCCCTCTTGGGATTGGAGCGATGCCAGAACAACCGTGGGGTTCTTAGCTGCAAGCAAAGCCAGCTTAACTAGGTCCTCCAGCAGAGAGGTTAGAATAAGGGGAAACCCTGTTTTCTGTAGTCTATCTTAGGAGGGGAACCCTCCCAACCAAAAAAGAAAGGGTTAAAGGGCACCTCGCTGGGGGACCTGGTTAAGTAACAAGTCCAACGAACAGCCCGGTAGTGAAGGCCGAAGGCCGGCAGCTGGTTTCTCGCGGGTGCGTGCTCATCTGGCTGTGGGTCAAAAATAGGTACCCAAAATGGAACCCTGGTAAATAGAAACATGAACTAAAATCTGCGGCCCCCTGGTGACTTTATATCGACCCACACCCATCTAATGGTTAGAGTCTCTTCGCCTCCCCCTTGCCCGGGAGACGGCGACGGCGCGCCTCATGCCAACTGAGGCCGCCCAGGGTGGTCTCAAAGAGCGTGTCGATGCTGCGGGGGACATCCCCAAAGTGGTGGTAGACCTGCCGCACACCTGGCGGCTGAAAAAAGAACCCAGGGACCTGGATCATTGTTTTGTCTTGGGGCTTAGGGTTTAGGGTCTTTTTGATTGAAAGGAAAACAGAAGCGTACCTCAAAACTGTAGGGCCCCGGTCTTTGAAGACTGTGGATCAAGCTTCAATGTGGTCTGCCCCCCCATGAACGGTGCACCTGTCCGCTGTTCATTCATTGGCGAGCATTGAAGAGACCCAAGAGCATGTTTTGCCTGCCAAACTCTAACCTTCTGCACCAATCCTAAACTAAGAAATATGGAAGCAGGCAAACAAGAATAAAAGCTGAGAACCATCGGAAGGTAGGTTCTGGACACCATGCCCTCGCCAAAAAGTGCCCAACTTAGTGGCAATCCTTCGAACGTTGTAAGAATTAAATTGGGTGTTCCAACCGTTGAGCTTGTGGATTTGGGGTTGCAGCCATTGAATGTCAACTTCCCTAAGATGAACTTGGCTCTTCAACTTCCAAAGTGACGCAACCCTTGAGCCCAGGAAGCAAAGCACAAGAAATGATGCGAGCGCTGCCCAATGACACAGCAAAGCAGGTTGCCGAAGGAAGTGCTTTTTAAAGGCTCAAGCACAAAAGCTCGCATCAAGAAAAGGGGCTCAAGTTGCGTGCTGCCCTTTCGATGTCCCTTTGACATTCAAAAGGCGTACCCCAAGTTGTAGGACGCCTTTTGCATGTCAGCTAATTTTCGGTGCTTTTGAGGAACATGGATGGGAAAATTGACCTCCCTCCCTCCCTCCCTCCCTCCCTCCCTCCCTCCCTCCCTCCCTCCCTCCCTCCCTCCCTCCCTCCCTCTCCCCCCCCCCAGAAAGAAGGAGACTCTTCAAAAAATCGCTCTTTTTGGGGGAGGGGGCCAGGCCAATCTTCAACTGGGGGCTTTTCAATGGCTGCCCGTGGGACCTGTACCAATGGGAGCCGAGCCATGCCTGAGCGGATCCATCCCTGGTCGACAACCCGGAAAACAACATCCAGCGGGCACAAAGCCGAAAGCTCCTTAAGCTGACAAATGGCCATGGGTCAAGACACCGTACCCCCAGTGAACATCCCGATCCCCACTAAAATAGACTAAAATGGGTGGTGCACCTACTCCACAATGGTACCATTGGTTTTGACCCACAGCCAAATCGTGACGGAACAACAAACGGTCGATTTGCCCCGGCCCAAGTTCGTCAATTCATGTTTCTGGATTGGTCTTATCGAAATGGCCAGCTTCAAGGCCTGGTTGTGCGAGATCCCCAAGCCTCCCAGTTGTTCACGAGGGAGCTGGAACTGCTCGTTTCGGCGGAGCAAAACAACAGGTTCCAAGGTACATACGCCCCCCCCGCCATTCCCCCCCCCCAAAAGTCATAGTCATCCCAACATCTACTCCAACAAATTGGGCCCAGCAAAACCAAACCGCCCCCCCACCAAAACGCCCCCCTCCACCACCCAAACCGCCGCTCGAACCGATCGAAACCGATCCCCGGTCCATGCGGCGCCCGCCTGGGGCGCTGGACTGCTGGGCCTCGGTGCGCCAGTCCTTGGCGGTGTAGTCCACCTGAGAGCGCCGCGCGACCGGCGACTCGCACCCGCGACGCGCGGAACGAGCGCCGAGCCTCGAGTCTCGTCTTGGGACTCATGACTGATAACATGAGGCATGAGCCTCGTGGGAAGCCAAGAAAACTCCCCAAACAACACCCTAGGACATGGTGGAACTAGACGCCAGGGCTTGGGAATGAACAACTCCCTGGTTTCGGGAGGGATTCCGGGAGAAAAAGAAGGGACGCCAAAAACGGACATGGAGGTTGTTCTTTCCAAACTGGGAGTGATTCAGAGTCCACTTCGAAATTCTCCGTTGAGAACCCAGCTTGTCGGGCTTGAGGAGTTCACCGTTTGCCGACTCTTGAGGCGGTGTTCAGCGGGAACGGAGGACAAAGGAAAACTGACAGGAAGGAAAGTCCACACCAAAAGAAAAAACAAGAAAAAGCAAAACAAAAGCAAACAAAACACAATCCACGCCAACATTAAAAAGACAAGAAAATGGGGAAAAAAAACAAAAACAACAAACATGCCACGCCTGGTCCTTGAGCCAGTCTGTGCACGAGCTGGTCAGGCTGATCGCGAACACGTACCTAAGATAAGAACACGGCGCAAAAAAACAGGCAACACACAGCAAATGGGCGTGTCTCCAAACAGGGAACCCTCAAAATCGAGGGATTCCTTGTTGCTTCCCTCCAAAGCCAACCTAAAATGGGTGGGTTGGGACGGCGCACATCAAAACACACACATGCTTGGATACAGGCAACCAACCAGTGTGTGGCCTCTGGGCAATCTCTTGGTTGACGTTGGAAGGGGAGCACAAATTTGAATTTTAGCAGTTAAGTGAGATTTCCCACTAAACCACAATAAGCAAAAATGTAAAATGCTTCCCAACAACGACCATGATCTACTAGACAAACCTGAGCTCGGAGACTCTAAGGGAACTTCATCATGCAGCTCGTGTCTCTCCCAGATCAGTGAGCTTGTTTTCCTTGCCGAGATGCTCCGGGTTAGAGCATATGGGTTTTGGGTTCTGCCATTTCGAAGAAGACATTTGCCCCGGCTCCTTGTTTTCTCCATCCTCCCCGGTTTGGAGAGACCCTCCAAACCAAAAAGGCTAAAAAGGCCCCTTCCGCCCCGAACCGGCCGTTCCTTCGAGCAACACTCGCCTTTCGCCTTCCGATTTCGGCTTTCGGCTCGCTCGGCTCGCTCGGCTCGCTCGGCTCGCTCGGCTCGCTCAGTTCGCTCCGGTCAGTTCGGGATGCATGACCATGAAGAACATCACCAGCGCCCAGACCAGCTGCTTCACCGAGTCCGCCACCATCGCCGCCAATGTGGCCAGCTGTCGGAAGAAGCCTCGTGCGACTCGCACGACTCCGCGGGACCACCGGACCGGCCGCGAATTTCTGGTGGGGTTGGTGGCTCGAAAAAACAAGACGGAGAGGGGCGTTTGTTCCCTACAAACTGGCGGTTGGGGAAGTAGCCTGGGTTTGAGGGCAGTTTTGGGCACACGGGATTTTGTGCGAGTCAAAACAAGTGGTAGTAACTCAGACAAAGGCCTTTAAGCCGCTGTTCAGGTGCCTTCCGACTTGTGATTCTTTATGGGGCGCAGAAATCATGGATGCCAGGCATGACCATGTCAAGCAAACTAAATGAGGGTTGAGTTACCAACTACCCCTGGCCCCCTCTTGGCAAACTAGTATCAAAATGGACGCATCAGAACACCTCCTTTTGCCTCCAAGCCCCAAATTTCCCCTTGGAACATCACCGCCGGGACGAAACTGTCCGAACAATTCGCACACAGGTTGAGGGCCTTTTTTCTTAAAAAGGGGGCAGTGCCGGTATCGGATGAGTCAAATGTATCAAACACATTACGTTTTGCCCAAAATGGTTCTTCACTCCTCCGGAACCGGCGATGTTCCCACTTTTCGACAGGCCCTGGTCGCCCCGCCCCGGTCTTCCCTCTGCTCCAGCAGGGTTGACAATGCCAGCACCAACAAACACTCCACACCGCCGCTAAACCAAGATTAACCAATACTAAATTCCAACAACCAAAATCAACTAAACTTGGGAGAGGCCAAACTGCCCCCCCCCCCCCAATTTTTGTTCACCGTTTTTTTTTGAATCGGGTCCCCCAAATCCGGTTGGGGAGTCCCTTCCAAGGCATGATGTGCGGGTAGACTGGCGTCCGCCCGCACATTGCAAGATGCAAGGACAGTTGTTTCTTTTTTCCTGAGCATCTCTCCAATGTTCCATCAAAACTGTCGCGAGTGCTAGCCTGGCCTGCATTCGCCCCGGCTTTGAGGGAACACTTTGGATGCCCCCCCCCCCCACAAACAGGGGGTTCTAACACATGTCAAGTGAAGATTCATCTGCAGTTCCCCATCACATTAGTAGTTTAGAAGGTCATTTGAGCTGACGGAGCCGCAGCTCGATTCCATTCACATGAATCCGCTCTTCACCCACATCGCGCACTCGTTTGTTTCTTGGCCATTGAGGTCAGTTTAACCCCTCGCTAGTTTCTACCAATGGGAAAAATGGTAGCAACCCAAGGGCACTAAGACCATTAAGACCCAAAAGGAAAGGACCCCGTTGTGTTGTAATTAAGGTAATAAGAAAAAGAAAAAAACGCCACGAACGCGAAAAAGAATCTACACCTGCGGATGGTACTGATTTCCCCGAAGACCTGGGGTCTGCTTCAAAGGGCGTGTCGCTCTTGAAGGTGCCCGGATTTGAAGGGAAACATAGCAGCCGTTCTTGGGGCTGCCCCAACAAGGCAAAGCCAAATGGTGCACGCTGCTCGACGCTGAGGTGCGGAAGATGCGGAAGAGCCGAACCACGCGGAGCATCTTGACCATCTTCAGCACTGACAAGGAGGTGGAAGCATCCCCCGAGGCGATCATGGAGATGTCAACGATGCTGATGATGACCTAAGCTGCTCATGCGGCTGACAAAATATAAATAAAACATATATATGTATATATAATGTCTTCTTAGGAACAACAACCAAAAACAATATATGGCAGTTGATCAATATTCCTGTTTCCGGAAAACGCCATCTTCGCGAGAAAAAAAGTTTCTTTCGCGAATCTTTCGCGACTCCATCGCCAAGCCCTTTTGTTTGCCCTTTTGTTTGCAGCGTGCACTCTGGAGCCATTGTGGCTGCTGCAGTTATGCTTGCGCACAGGATAGCCGCAGCTCACCTGCGTGCAGTACGTAGTGTTAAGTGCAAGCAGTCACCGTCATTCGCCCTTGCCACTTGCGCTTGCCGGCGATGTGCGGAACCTTGCAACAAGCTCCCTGGACTTTCGCCGGTCTTTCGCGGATCTTTCGCGAAACTTGCCCCAAAACAGCCCAGCCAACGTTATTGATTTGCGCCATTCCTAACACACACAGGGAATCACTAATGCAAGTGTAGGTGCTGCGTATCTCCCTCTACAAGGGAGCGGGGTCTGCAAATATGTAAGTGCACAGGCATGCCTCCAAAAATCCACCGCGGAATCTTTCGCGAAAAAATAAGTTTCTTTCGCGAACTCCATCGCCGATCTTTCGCGGAGGGATTTAAGCCAAGACGAATGGTCACCGAATACATAACTCCTTGCAAGGACCTTTTGATCAACCCCCATATATATATATAGATATAGATATACTACCTATACGCACACTCGCGCGTGTTTCGTCACTGGCACTGCAAGACCTGGTTTGTTTGAAAGGTGTGGAGCTTCCCATGCCTGCGGCCACAAAGCGCTCCCAGCCAAGCGCACGGAAGACATTCGCGCGCGAGGGCATGTGAAAGTGTGCTCTGCAGCTGAAGAATGCTGGGGCTCAAAGCGCACTCCCGACCTCAGCTCGTTTCCGCTTCTGGTTGCATTGTTTAAAGAGAAGGCTTGTGTCTATGTCACCACTGTAGTTTGGGCAGCTTGAGCGGCTGGGAGCGCGGTCTCCGTAGGGCCAGTGCTTTGTGTTTGGGGGCTTAAAGGGGAGCTCATAGGGGCACAGGCTGAGAGCAAAGCAAACTGGGGGCGGGGGCTTCAGAGCCCACGCCGCCTTCAGTTTGTTTTCAGGGCCTCAGGCGTAAAAGGAGTAATCCCAGCAACTTGGAGGAATGGCGAAGAAAAGTCCTGTGAGAGGCAAGATGAGGCAAGGGAGAACATCCAAAAGCCCGCCGGGCCAACAACGGAGGAAAGGCTTTACCCTTGATGCAGAGGCAGCAGTTATCGACGTGACTGAAGGGGCCGGCCGGCTCAGTGCGGCTGATCGAGATGCTCTACAGACTCTACAGGCGAGGGGGGGTGGTCATAGTCTGCTGTTTCACTCACTTTGCGCCGGCTTTGTCGCTTCCCCAAACGCCTCAACGGTGTCGGACTCCCCTGTTGCTTGATGATCTTGTCCAGGACAACGTCTTCCTTCTCCAGCTCAGGAGATTTTCCCCCGACATGAGCTCCTCGGTCTCGCTGGCGGTGATTTCTGACTTCTCCGCCCTCCGCTCCTGAGCCTTGCTGCAGCTCCTCTTGGCTCTTCCTCTTCTTGCTGCTAGAGGATCTCTCCCTTGCCCCACTCTCAGAGGCGATAGCAAGAGCCAAAAGTGATCGCCTCTATGTCGATGGCGTGCGTCGTGAGCCTCACCTATCAACACACCAAATCAGACACCAAACCCGAGAAGAAGCTGCGCCTCAGTACTCAAAGGAAGAAGAGGGTCCACCAACAGAGCTCTCAGCCATAGGAGCGCAATCACCGTGAGCCACTCCCCCCTTCCCATTGCAAAATTTAGCAAAGGCTCATCCACGAGCTCCCCTAGCTGAACGCCAAAAACTACAGCGTTCAATTGGTGCTTGTTTCGTGTTTAGAACCGGGGCCGTACATCCATTTCGTTCACTGTACAATAAAGGTCCCAGTATAGAGGCTTTGCAAAGCCCGCCACTCTTGACTTAGAATGCGGCAATAAGTGCTCAAATGTCTCATATAAACATTGCCGATTTGTGGGTCCGAAAGGGGACCTTTGGAGGAGATGTGACTAGAAGACGACCGAGAGGCACTGAAAAGGACCGAACCCGGAACACTCCCCAGACTTCCACGTGCGTTGCCCAAATGGAGGAAAACCCTCCTTTACCTGATGTGCATCTTGGAAGGAAACCAGCAAGCGCCCTAGCAAATCCTCCATTCAAACAAGACACCCCCTCCTCTTTGCGTGCGCGCGCGAAAGGGCCATGGGCTTTCCGGAGACGCACAAAAACCGAGACAAGACAAGGTGCCAGCATGACGTCACAAAGGTTCCAGGCTTTATCCTCCCCCAGGAAGTAGACATGCACGCCCAAGGCCTTCAATCGGATCAGCACCTGCGCCGCGAAACGACGCTCGAGGTACGCCTTCGTAGCCGCGGCTTTGGATGAGATCAAATGGCTGTGGGTCAAAAATAGGGTAACCCCAAAATGGCTTGCCCTGGCAAATGGAAACATGGACTAAACCCTGTGGAATTTTGACCCATGCCACGGAAATCGATCACTGGCCTCCCCACCGGAAACTATTCTGCTGAATCTCTGCCTTGACCACTTGGAGTGATCTCCTCTTCCTTCTGTTAAGAAATCAATTTGCCTTTGGCGTGGCATGCTCGAGATTGGCAAAAGAAACATATGGCATCACCTCAAGGAGAAATGCTCATGTATCCATGTGTCAAACCAAGTTGAGATTGACTATCCGGAAGGCCCACAAAGCTATGGCTGGCGTCCAACCATCAAACCAAAGAGCTCTTCTGACTGCAACCCCTTTATGCGAGTGTCTCCACTCACTGGAACTGCAGCATCTCAAATGGCAACCATTGACATAACAAGACGGTTTCCAGACTGCGGCAACCATTAGCGCATGAGCAGCAAAGCAACGCGTTCACCTATTCGCACTTTAGTAGTCACCAATACTTCATCTTGATCATCACCCAACTAAAAGGGAACTTACCCCGATTTGGATCTTCCAGCATGTGACGCTCAAAACTTTTAATTGGGAAAACTGGGTGCACCCTGTTTCTTCGAGTTGGAGTCTGAGATGCCCAGTGGCCATGGGAAAAAAGGGCATCTTTTTTTGGTTGGTTGAGTTTAAAGGGGAAAAACAGGAAAAAAGGGCGTCACTGGGCAACAGAGTGGCTGATCAAAGGAGCAGCAAACAACACCCGTCCGTACGAACCTGAGCTGTGCTCAGATCCCTTACTAAAAGGTTGAACCTTTTAGCAGGGCTCAGGAACCGGATGGCTAGCCACCAAGAAACCAGGAACCCAACATGGTTGTGGCTCAAAATGAAAGAGCCAGAGTCACCCAGGTTGTAGTCTTTGGTTCCATTTACCAAGGTGCCATTTGTGTACCATGTGTTTGACCCACAGCCACATTTCACGGTTGCGGCTCGGCCTCCACCATGAACCAAACGCCTCGGTGACTCGGTGACTCGGTGACTCGGTGACTCGGTGACTCGGTGACTCGGTCACCGAGCGCGAGGCGCGCGCGAGCCGACAGCCATGGATGCGCCCGAAACAGCACACAGCCGTGTTGTTTGGGGATGAACACCGGCAAGGAATGGCAACATTCAACTTCAATCTTTGTTGGAAATTGGAAACCTCGGTTTGAGTCTTTGGAAGGAAACGCCTCTAGCTCAACTCCCGCAGGGCTGGTTTTCTTCAAAAGCAAACTCATCGCCGTTTGATCCCTGGTGCAAACATACGAGCGCAACCAACATCAAGAGGGGTTCCACATGTGCCCTAAGGGGAGCATTTCGGAGCCGCGGAAACAGTGTCAAACCGCAAGATTGCCGGCATTTTGGGACCGAGCTCGGCCATGCGAGAAATGAAACATGGTTTGAAGATCTTGTGGAAAGGGGCCGTTCAGCTCTCAAAAACCCAGGGACATGTTCATGCAGTGAGAACTCGCAGGTTTGGGGTTCGGCCCGGTTTTTCCAACAGACCTCGGGTGATGAAAATCTCAGAAAAAAAAACAGACCAAAAACAAACCCCAAACAGCAAACCCCAAACAGCAAACCCTTTCTCCATTTTGAGGGGGTTAGTTTGCCTTGCCTTTGTTCAGGGTTCGCCGTGCCTTCCATGTGCTAACGAGTTCAGTCCGCGATTCGCGAATCTCCGCGGACGCGCGACGTTTCAACGGTCCGAAGGGCTGAAGAGCACGCTGAAGGCGATCAGCGTCGCGGAGCTCGAAAGCTGCGTAGACAAATACCTCAACGGTTCAGCGCAGCTCTTGTGAGACTCCAAACAACTCGGTTGCGAAATCTGCTCCCCTGCTAAAAGTTTAGCTTTTAGTAGGTTTAACGGCGAACCCATTAGTTGGCAAAAAGTTGAAGTCCTAACATTCAAGCAAAATGCACCAAAGACAATATAGGCGGGTTCAATATTTCAATCTGTGGGGAGGGTTCTCTGAATACTGTATGTGAGGGAGGGCTCCCTATGTGAGGCCCTCTTTTTGTTTTCTGTAGGCGGGTTCCATATGCAACTTACTGTGCTATGCTGTGCTTCAAGCTATCCCACGAAATGTTTGCTTTTCGGCTCTGAAAAGCGTTGTGAAGGCATACCACATGTTACACTGCTTTGCTTAAGATTCACGGGACCACTTATATAGCGTTGTTGAAGGTATCGAAACTCTATCTGCTCGTCAAATATTCATGAAGGTCAAGTTAACTGAGTCTTGGACATGTTCATAATTGCAGCTAAGCTGTAAAATAAGCTCATGAAGTGCGGGGGGGCTCGCAAAGGAAGTATCGGTGTGCCACGTTTCGGCATCTTTCGGCCCAGACTTTTCAAGATCTGGGGGATGTTTCCCCAACTCACCAACCTGCGCTCCGGGGAGAAGGGACACCAAGGACCAGGTGGAACCTTCACCATGCTCGAAGTCGAGGCACGGGAACTCTGAACCGCCCTGGCTATGAAGTGAAAACCCGCATTGTGCGAAGATGTGCGAAAGAATCGTCGAAGTCACCGCCACTGATGTGTGGCGACTTTACCCCGCATGGAGCGGAGTCTATCCGCGAAGTCAAAAAGCCACCGCCAATATTTTTGCCCACACGTCAATTCAGTGAAAATATGTTGTAAACAAATCCGTCAAGATTCAAAACACGATATGGAAATCAAGTCACTGCCAAAAAGAAGCCCATAGTTGTTCAGCCTGGAAGCAAATCCCATGCAACGCAGTATGCGACAATGTTGCACCAACTTGGCGCATTGCCCGAAAACCGCAAAAACACGCATGGTTGTCTTCTCAAAAGGCTACCTTTCAAAGCTCGCGCCCGGCATTTGCCCTACCCAATTTCAACATCCGGCGGAATAAGTAGGCTGAAGCTGGCCAAAGCACAAGCCATGGCAGGCAAGTCTATGGTACAATAAAAGCCTTGTTGTCATGCCCCGGACGAGACCCGGGACGAGACATTTTGAACATGACGAGACCCCCACATGTGCCAAATGCGAGATGTCTGAATCGAACACAAAACAAATGGGAGGAGAAACACAGTGTTTCACGACCTGCAAATCCCAACGGCACACAGCATCCACACGAACAAACCCGCACCTAACTTGAACCTGCTAGGAAGTATCCAACTCCAAACCCCAATGCAAGCGGCATTGGACCTACCCAGGCACACAAACAACATGAAGCGGCAGCTTCTTCAACCATACTTGGAGAGGCAACTCAACAAGCACCCAAACTGGAGTAAACTTCATCCCATGCTTTGCGTGCTCCTTCCAATAGTCTGCCTAAGCCAACGGAAACGAAACACGCAGCGAATCCGGTGGTTCCGCGCCATGCGCTTGATGAGATTTCTCCAAGCGGCTGGGCCTCGATCCCCAGTAGAAAGGAGTTGGCCTCGGCGAAAGGAGTAAAATGACTCGCCTCTGTTCATGGAACTCACCAGGGGGTCTTAGGAAAATTATCTTGAACTTTGGAGTGAGCCCTTCATGTGGATTGGAGCCCCCCCATGTTAAGTCCATTTCCGGCAACAGTTTCCAGTTTATTTCCCCTATTCCAACTAAAAACGGGTCCGAAATCCATTTCGAGAAGCATTCAAATGGCTATGAATTGAATTGGGGACTCTTTTGGTCATCCTACGGGGATTGTCCACCGGGCATGTATTCCAGTTCCTGATAACATTTTTGGCCAAATTAAAACCAGCCCTCGAGGTCTGGAGGAATCAGGCAACTTGATTGGATCCGTTCCCGCAAAATCAAATTAAATTTGGGATCCCCTTTCGGGACCAAGTTCTCACGGGCAATGAATTTGACTTTTGAGCCGGGAACACTAAACATGTGCAAGAGTAGGACAACCAAAAGGTTGGGCAGTGGGCTGACGAAGGAACAGTTTAAAGAGCATCATGTTTTGGGCTCCTTCCGGTCATGAAGGAAAATGTCAGAACCCCGAAGCCATGTACTATACTTCAATATTGAGGCCCAAAAAGGAGGTTTGGCTCCACAAAGTCGGGATACATTCGTCTGCTGGGAGTCCTTGTAACAGACTTCAAATCGTGCTCTTGGAACCGTAGTTCAGGCTCCCGGTCTTTGGTGTGGGACACACTTCGGTGTGGGTTCAGGAGACCTCACAAGGCCCCCAGACAAGCTTTAGGGGAGCGAGCTCAGAGGACCAAGTCATCCACTCCACGGCCCATGCTCTCATTATGGGCCTCCAGGGCGGCTCTGGGGTGCTGTCCACCTGTCAAAGCCTTAGCAAGGTCTTGAGGTGCTTACCCTGGTTTGATGGCCCCCTCTCCATAGCCCCGCTGCTGTGGATGAGCAAAATCCACTCTGTTGAAAGTGGTTTATCAACAAGTATTCACAGGCTTTCATCCATCCCTACTGCAGCGTCTTTGGCGACCATCTAGATGGGTGCTTCTCTCAAAAGTGATCCGCCTCCACAACATGAACCAGTACTCACAAAGAGTTTCTCTGACTTATTGAGGCGAGAAAAAAAAAAACAGTTCAAAGGGGAAAAAAAAAAACAACAAACATCGAACAGATGTTTCAGGGTCCCCCTTCACCGGCCAACGCTCCCCGCGACGGAAATGCGCCGTTCCCAGCCGTGGGGCGAGGATCATAAAGGCCGCCACGGTCTCGAAGATCAGCCACGACAGCTCCGAGGCCTTCACATCCTCGTCGTCCTCGCCCCTCGACAGCTGGAGACGGGCACTGGGAAAATGGGCAAACAAATGTCTTTCTCGGCTTCTATGCCTGTATTCCTGAAAGCCATAGGAAGACTTAAACGTTAAAAGTGGTTTGCATGTTTGTGGGACTCCGCAAAATATGATTTCAAACACATCCCAACATCCCTTTGTAGGCCTTAGGCCCCGCAGGCGGGTCGAACGGGTCGATCCCTCCTGCCAAAGATGAACTTCAGAAACTGCTCCGCCCGCTTCTTCAGCGAGGCGTTCCTCGGGAGGAGAATGGGAAGCCAGGCTTTACTTGGGATGGTCTTCGGAAGCTCCACAGTCCCACGTGCCCGAAGCCCACTTAAGCGCTCCAATGTTTCTGAAGTTCATGGAGACCTTAGCACCGTATTGTCTGTCTGTCTTCTCTCTAGGACCATCTTCGTAACAAGTTTCTTCGCAGCTGTGTATATCTGCTATGTTCCACGAGGGGCATCTTTCTTGGAAGTCAGCTCCCTATACTTTGAGAGACAGGCAGACAACAACATGGTTTTCAAAGCGAACCTTCGGCGACGAAGAAAGTCTCCGGATTCCGACCCCATTTTGCTTGCCTTGTTAGCTGGGCAGAAGCTAACAACTGTTACGCCAAACTGCGCAGCTTTGTGACAAACCCATACTGCAGTTATGTGACGATGTCTGTTTACATTCGCTCGCGCTTCAAGGCCAATCACAACCCCCGGAAGACCCTGGGCCCATGGGCCCATTTGTTCCACTCATTTCTTCGGTTGCGCGGAAGCCTGCAACACGCAGCCTAGACAAAAATTGGCCGGCTGGTTGGCTTTTGTGTTGGACTGAGAAATCAAAAACAAACACAATCAAAGGAAACTGGCCCTGAAGCGGCACAGAAGCCAACAAAAAAACAAAAAAGGGCTGCCACCAAGTCCCCCCCCCCCCGAGAAACAAAACAGAATGCCCCCACAAAAACAACTCTAAAAAAGGGCTGCCAAGTCCGAAGTCCCAAAAACAACAGCAAGCCATCACCGCGCCATCGATTCGTTGAGGCTCTGGTTCCTCTCGTGCTTCGCTCTGGCCAGCTCAAGTCGCTTCGTGAGGCACACCTCGCCGTTCCCCGTCAGGGCGCCCCTTAGCATCGGTGCAGGGAGTAGGGCTGGAAAAACACCTGACATGATGAAACCTCGACCACCCACATAAACTGAGAACCATGGACTGTCGAAAACTAGCTCAGAAGTAATCCAAAAACAAAAACAAAAACAAACAAACAAACAAACAAACAAACAAACAAACTAATCCGTAATGCTGATTCGGAAACCACGATCCTTGGGGACCCCTTTTGCAACAGGCAAGGATTGAAGATTGCCTTTGGACACCTGAGATGGTACATGGGTGCGTCTTCTTTCAGGCAACCCCCTTAAGGTTTGCATAGACACCTGTCCCTCAATTTGAGACACATCCACATGCTGAAGTTCTCTCACTTCCTGAGTGGATTGGTCGAACAAGGTTCAGACTTGTTCTCCAACAAAATGATACTCGAGTCTGAAGTTCAGACGGGAAGATAAGGAGAGACTCGACCTGCAGAAGCAACATCTTTACATTTGATGTGAGGTACTGACATATAGACCCTACTTGACCTTTCAACGAAAAGCCTAAGACTAGGGTTGTAAACGTTTCTTCAAACACGGACAGCTCTTTCTGGGAGCGGATACCTGTTTCATCAACTCACCCGAAAAGCAAGCAGCTGAAAAACCTAGCTGTTTCGTAAAGGGGTTTCCCCCCCAACAGCTATAAGCGCTTGGGTTTCAAGTCTTGATTCAGCGGAAGAAACCTAAACCTCGAGCCCAGGCTCACCATGTCTTCCTCTGCCATCTCCGAGCCTCGGCGTTGCCAGGACGCACCGAAAACGCCAGCTTGGCGCACGAAAACGCCCACGGGGTCATGCTTTTTCTTTCTCATGTTTTTTTTTTGGGGGGGAGGCAGGTCAACTCCTTATATGGGTCGTGGTCACTTGGGGGATCTGGGGCACGAATTATTCGGGTGTTCCGCGGAACCCCGACCATCTAAGCCCAGGAAACCGGGTCTGGCACGCTGGGAGGCCACATGGAGCCCGAAGAGCGCTCTGAGTCAGAACCAAAACGAAGGTGTTAGAATCTACCCAGTGAAGGGATCCTTACATTATTCACCTGAAAATTGCAACTTGTAAATGGTGGTGTCCCTTTGTTTTGGTGGAAAAAAGCAACATGTTTCAAATGGTTGCAAAATGTAACTTTTAAGGAGCCCTGCAGAACCATGTAAAGAAGTAAGAAGGCGGCCGCAGCTATTTATGGTTGGGATTGCCCCTTACTATCCTTCAGCCACCCGGGTTTTGCTTGCGGCTGGGCATGTGTCCCAACAAAACCCTTAATTCCGGGAAAATTTCGGGGACTGCATCCAAACAGGCCTGTAAAGAAACTCAACATCAAATAACTAACCCTTACTTCAGGGGAAACCTCCGGGGCTTCATTTTTGAGTATGTAGACTTGGGTTGCGCCAAGTATCACAAAATCCTCGAAGGATTGGTCACTAGATGCGGAGTAATTACCCTCTGTCCAGCAATGGAAGTGGACAGGGGCCTTCCCCCAAAAGGATCAAAACCCTCCTGCCAGCTTCCACATTTGTCAGAAGGAAACCACACGAAGAAGTTCGACGCCGCAAAGTGCGCGAACTCGCCACGCGTTGAAACGCTTGAGGTCATGTCATATATATTATGTCTGAAGAGGGTTGTACGCATTCCCTTTCCACTTCTCCTGGGAAATCGGCCTTAATGACAGTTAAGATTAAGGGTGAACGGTTCCCTGGTATGGCAGTGGGTCAAAAATAGGTATACCCAAAATGGCTTGCCCTGGCAAATGGAAACATGGACTAAAACCTGCGGTCCCATGGTGGTTGAATTTTGACCCATACCCGTATCACTGAAGTAGCAAAACCCAACCTCGTTCCCACAGCGCGGAACGTCTGCAAGACGGCGCGAGTGTTCAGCAGAGCCACGCGCTTTCGCGGGCCGTTTCTTCTGTTCCTTCAGAGGCCGAGGGGAACAAAAACGAAAACCTGCCCAACAAAACTAAAAGGAAATACAAAACATTTTTGGTGGGGGAGGGAAAACATACACACTTCAATGAAAGTATAACCACAGGAAGTTCAAAAAAGGAGCTCCGTGTTACGGACACTGGTTGCAAGGTAGCTCTGGCAAAGACCGGAAACGAAGGAGAATGAACGCATGCGAGAACGGGCGTGTGCGAGAAAACATGCGGGCATGTGTCGCAGGATCACACAATCGCCAAAACACTCTGCTGGTGTTGGCGTCTCTTGGCTGAAAGCTACCTCAGCCGCGGCTTCCGCCGAAACCGTCTTGGCTGGCTCGGAACGAGACCAGACCAAGCACCATGACCCGGGCACTGTTCGCAACTTCAGTTTGCGTGACAGGCGCAGCACGTGGGAGATGGGGCGCATGTTGGATTGGCGATCGGGCGCGACACTTTGGCGAGGCGTAGGCATCCTGCACTAGGTTCTCCAGTAGAGAGTTTAGAATAAGGGTACCCTGTTTTCTGTAGTCCATCTTAGTAGCAGGTACACATATTGTGACAGGCGCAGCACTGTTGCAAGGTCAGACGTCTTGGCGGGCCAACGCTTTCGCACAAAGTCACATTCGAACGGTCAGGTACAGAGTCGCGGCAAGCGCATGATCACTGCAGATTTCGTAACACTGCTACAAGGTCAGATTTCGCGGCAGGCGCAGGGTTTTGCAAAGTCATGTACAGATTTCGTGGCAAGGGCCTCACTTTCGCGCAGTCAGGCACAGATTTCGTGGCAGGGGCAGCAATTTCGCAAGGTCAGGAACAGATGTCGTGGCAAGCACATCGCTTTCGCAGCCGCACTCGCGAAGCATTGCAGATAAACAGAAGCATCCATCAAAGAAACAGACGCATCAATTCATCTGTTTCCATCTATATCCAATTATGTGTCTATCTATCTATCTATGTATCTATCTATCTATCTATGTATCTATCTATCTATCTATCTAGCTATCTATCTATCTATGTATCTACCTGTTTATCTATCTATCTATCCGTCTATCTGTCTATCTGTCTATGTATGCATCTATCGATTACTCTATCTGTCTATCTACCCATCGGCATCCAGCGATCAATCTCGCAATATTATCTATCTATCCAGTAGCTTTCTTTGGATAGATGAATAGGTAGACAGGTAGATGCAGTATTTGGGGTAGATGAATAGATACATAGATAGATAGCAACATAGATTAGATAGATGCATGGATAGATCGATTGCTAGATAGCTAGATCGATACATCAATAGTCAGACAGACAGACATACAGACAGGCAGACAGGCAGACAGACAGGCAGACAAATAGACTGACAGGCAAACAAACAGATATCTAGATAGATTGAGAGATAGACAGATAGATAGATAGATAGACAGATAGATGGAGGGATGGATGGATGGCTGGATGGATAGATGGATTGATGGACAAATGGATAGATGGATAGAAAGAGAAAGAGACAGAGCGAGCGAGAGGACAGAGGAGATCAACGCGAAGCTTACCGACGGACAGGCAGGCAGGAAAGAAAGCAAACAGAAAGATAAAGATAAAGAGAACATGATTAGAGTTCGGCCTAGTGATAGAATGTATATTTTATTGTTTGCTTCACTTTGGGTCACTGGTAAAATGTAAAATGTATCCTGAGTCTACCCCAGTGAAAATGAAAGAGACGCGACAGAGAAAGCAAAATAAAATAGAGCATGATAAAAGGACAGAACGAGACGAGAAAGAGAAAGATAACAAGGCAAGGAACGAGAGAACGACAAGAAGCAAGACGATAAAGCGAAATATATATGGAAAGAAAGAAACGGTATTACACAATACAAAGATACAGAGAAAAGGAAAGAGACAGAGAAAGATGAGAACGACTATAGTTCTTTATCTTTGAAGCTTCCGCCAGCCGGCTTCGGCGGCTGTATAGGATTCAACAGTGACGACAGACCTTGGCAGCGACGCTGGGGGTGCAAAAAGACGAGAAACGTGTTGGCCGCCTGGCTCCAACATGAGATTATTTTGTTGGCTACACAAGTGCCCCAGAAACAACAAATCTAACTACTCTTTCTCTTTATATATCTCTCTCTCTCTCTCTCCCTGTCTCTTTGTACGTGTATAGAAATACATGTAAATGTGTGTTTTTCTATCCAAACTGTGCCCACAAGGATCAGGAACTGGAAGACTCTCCTCTTGGATCCATGACTAATTAACAGTGGATGCCAAGACTGGGACACTTTTTGACCGGTCGATTCGCGTTGGTTGCAGGGTTGGAAAGGGCACCGACGTAATCTCTGTTCTCTGGGACACTATCTTTTCGAAAAGGTCCCTTGTCTGCTTCCACAATTGCCACGCTAGCTTGGGGGGTCCGGAACAATGAGGACGCGCATGTCATTTGAATCCATATGCGGTTCATTCAAAAACCGTGGCACAGCCCGCCCAAGCTGCGACATGGCTGGTATCTTAACCCCCCCTTTTTTTGGTGACGCGGGGGCCCGGTCCTTTGGCGGCCTCTTCCTGAAGGTCTTAGAGGCCGACTTCCACTCGAAGACCTCGTGCCAGGCGAGGCGAACGGGCGAGCCTTAAGAAGACCCGGTGAGGTACAAACCGTTTGCTCGGTTCAACTCGGGGGTACACCAAGCGACATAGATCCTGCTTCATGCTTGGTTTAAAAGAGAACATCATTTTGGGAGACCCGAGAAAAAGGGTGGCGTAACCAAAACCCTGCCTGGATCTCCTCCTTGACCCGCTTGTTCAGAATCTTCGCCTTGGCATCACGCTCCTCCTGCGCCTGCTTCTGCGCGGCCTCCTTCTCCTGTAAAAGCTTCTCACTTTCCTCAGGGTGGAAAAACATCGGTTTGAACCATACCCGGCCAACCTTAAACGGAAACTTACAAAAACGGCATGTGAGCCATAGGTGTTTCAACTCCGGCTTCAGGGGCGATGTGTTTTTGTTCGCCTGGAAAAAACCGGCTTTTTCCCTCGTTTCCATCACGTCGCCTGCTGGTTCTCCTTCTCGCTCTCCTTGGCCTCCGGCTGGAGCTTCCCAATCACCAGGGCACTTGGCTGCCACAGCTCCGGCTCCGAGGCACGTGTGGAAGCCCGGCCCGACGTCTTGGCCAAGTCCTCCGAGGGCTTCTCCTCGATCTTCTCCGGCTCAACCTGCGGCACCCGGCGGAGTCAGCGTTGCGAGTGGCGTGTCTCAAGGAACAACAGCACACACACACATACGCACACATACGATTTGTTTTTTGCCCGAAGCACGTGTTTGACCAGTTCCACCTGCAGCCATGGTACTCCTGCATGGATCCCTAAGTCGTGGTTTTACACCATACAACTCGGAAACATGAAAAGCTTCGCCTCAAGCGTCCACGTTGAGCTTTGGGCTTCTCCCGGGGATCCCTGAAGAATTCGCGCTCGGCTTTGGGGTTCTCTAGGTTGTTTTTTTTTTTTTTAGAAGGTTCCCAGTTTCACCTACTCAGATGCCCAGTGGCCATGGGGAAAAAAGGGCATCCTTCTTTGGTTGGTTGAGTTTAAAGGGGAACTCTTCCCCAAAAAATGCAAGAAAGGGCGGACAACCCGCGCCAGCGTCTCCGGCGTCTCCCTCTTCTTTTCCTCCGGCTTCACCTCGCGGATCGCCAGTGCTACATCCCCTACATAAGGACGAGACGTGCTTTGGATCTATTTCCAGTGGCTGGGTTTGCTTTGGCCCCAAGGGTTCTGAACCCTTTCAAGGCTTCCAAGACAGGGCCTGTTTCAAAGTGCCTACCCCACTCCTCTTCACCCGGAGAACGGATGGCCCAGGAACAACTCGGGCTGATTTGTCCGGGGACAGGCAAATTCAAACTTCATTCGCCGGGTCTAACTCAAATCCGCAAAACAACTGATCCCTTTGCACCTCCAATTGGAGGCTGATTCCAGGCTTCTACACGTTCAATGAGCAAACCCTCAAACAGACACAACCCTCCCAGAAGTTTTTGCAGACCCTTTCTTTTCCTAAGTAACATCCTGGGTGGCAGTAGTATCAACGAGATGTGCGAAAACCCATGGCACCTGCGCTTGATTCACCTCCGGTTGTATCAAGTCGTTCAGATAAAGTCCATTGCTTGCAACGGCTGTGTGTTGGGTTGTAATTCCATATTACCTATCCTTTTCTCGGTTGCTTTCTGCTCCCCTGCTAAAAGTTTAACTCTAGTAGTTTAATGGAAAACCCATTAGTTGGGAAAAAGTTAAAGTCCTAACATCCAAACAAAATGCATGCAAAGTTTTGTTGCCAAGCTTGCCAGAATCCTGCCCCACACCCCACCCCACCCGGCCTTTTTGGTCTTCCTCTTCGCCTTCGCCTCCTTCTCCTTGGTCTCCTTGGGCGCTTCCTTCGCCGCAAGCTCGGCCTGCGAACTTGAAAACCCGGAATCCTTCGCCCATTTGCGGGGGGGGTCCAGGCAAACCAACCATTTGAGGGACAGCCATTTCCAAAACCAACAAAGGCACTATACCCTTGCTACCTTGAAACTTGTTGGGGGTCCGCTATGTTGAAACATCTATATGCTAGGTGTTTGTCACAGCAAAACTAAAGGTTTTCCTAACCCCGGCCACCATTTTGAGAGCCCGCAGCACATTGAAGCCGGCACCACGTGGCACGTGTCAGCCGAGGCTCCAAAACGGCATCCCACCCTTGAGACGATCAGCCGGACAAAGAGTCCCCAATGAGATTCCGCTACTCCAATGAGGAGTTTTGGTCTGCAAGTTTGTCTGAAGGGAAGTAGTCGATACAAATTGAGAACCCCCAGAAGGAAGGAACCTTCAACATGGGCGAGCTCGGTTTGACACGGTTTACCGTAACACAGGTGTGCTCCCCATTTTGGTGTAAACATACGAACTGCAGAAACACGCGCCAGAATTGCAAGGCCACTCCAACATGGTGCTTTTACCCCGAAGGCAAAGGTCGAAGGCTCGCAACGCATTTTACACCACAAAGTTGCACCCCTATCCCCTCTAGTCCAACCATTCGAGTCTCAAAACAAAAAAAAATCGTGCTTGAAACTTTGCGCCAGGCCCACTGTCAGCAGACCCAAGCAAGGCAGTCTACCAGCACTCCCCAACCGGTTGTTGGACAGCACCGGAGGATTCTGGGCCAAAGTCTGGCGCCGCATCTCGCCGCCTCCCTCGCAATGTCCCCGCGCCTTGGGAGATTTCTTCACCTCCTGCACGATTTTTCCCCGCGCCGGAGCGAGCGAGCCATGGAAAGGGAAGTTGGCAAAGGCTCGCGACCGAGCCATCGGCAGAGCAAATCTGCACAAATCCGCGGATGGCGTTGACGTCTTTTCCTGGACCACTAGTACGAAAAACAGATGTGCCGACGCCTCCAAAGTGAAGCCGGCGCCTCCAGAAGGAATCCCCTAGCAAAGGCCCTGCATTGGTGAGGCTGTCCAACCGAGTGCAAACAAATAGCAGGGGGCGTCAACCAGCTCATCAGAAGTCCATCAACAGTTTCTCGAGCGTTGACTGGCCGAACCTTGGAAACCACCGCATTCTGCACCCGTCGAGTCTTCTCCCAAGATTTGACACTACTGATGCACTTCCACCAGTGGCTTGGTGAGGCCAATTCTCAAACATATTTCGACTTGGTCGGTACACAATGCGTGTTGCTGGGAGGGGATGAACTATAGCTCATGTCTAAAGGAACAACAACAAACATCCGCACGAGGTCCGAAACCGATCCGTGTCACCAAGGGGACCAGAAATCCGTGGAAGAAACTGCAGCCAACGAATTCCCTGCTTGATTCTGCCATCCGGGGAAAAGGGATGATGCGTCAGGATAAACCAACCATGACAAGCCTTGCTGAAGAAAATCAATTAACAAAGCAATCAGGCCGCACACGAAATCGCAGGTGCCACCAGTCCCCCAATCCTGCCAATCCTTCACAACAAGCCCACAAGGCACAACGATACCCCAGCAGCCAATAACCAAACACACAAACTCCAAAGACATCCAATGTGACAACCCAGCTTTCAAAGGGAACCCGCCCTAGAAACAACGAGTCAAGCAAGGACGTTCCTTTGGGAGGCTGTCGGAAGGATCCCACTGGCTCCTGGCACGTCTCCAGTGAGAGAATCAGCTCCAAGAGCTGCTCGTGGCACTTCCGCACCTCGCATCGCTGCTGGGCTTGCTCGCCCCGATCAAAGTCTCCCGACTGCCAGTCTTGAACTACTCTCAGAGGCACATCATTGGAACGGGGCTGTGGGGGCGCGGGAAATCTCAAACTGGATTGAGCATACTGGGGGGGGGAGGGGGGGGGGAAATCTCAAACTGGATTCATCATACTTAGCCTATCCCTTATGTTACGTTTCCAAACGGGCCGAACGCCACTCACCAGCCGGAGCCAACCTCCTCGGGAAGCAAACTAAGATGTCCCGGTTGGCGGCTATGTCGAACTTTCGACCCCAGGACCCGTTACAACAACCACACGTGACTCATTTCTCCCCACCCCCCGGCTACTATTTGTTGGCTGTTGCCAGGCTGAGGGAGTGGGGTTCCTACCTCCCAAGAGCACGCCAAACTGCCCACAACAACCAAGACGCCCCGTTCTTCCCAGCTCCCCTCATATCCCCCCCCACCCCACAAGCCCGACCCGGGGGGCCTCCGCCAAGCGCTGTTGGAAGAGTTCCCCGATCTCCTCCTCCTCCTCGCCTCAGGCAAAGCACCGAGTTCCACCCAACCGGAGAAACGCAAAACAACGACGGGTTTGGTCAGAAGCGCGAAAAATGACCAATTTGTCGGCGTTGTTCAAAATGTGGATTTTTGAAACGTCGGCTGATGGGTGGTAAGCTTTTCAAGAATGAACACGCATGGCGTGCCTGCTTTCCTGTCTGCAAAACACATGAAAACATGCACCAAAACATGCAGGCACTTTGTGCAAGGCCTGGTGCATACTTTGACTTCAAGCAGGATTCTTTCAATCGAGCAACATCTGAAGCTGTCAGTCTTGAAGTCTGCCCTCACAAGGTCCTCCAGATTTGAGAGGATAGAACAAGGTGATAAGGTGGTACCCGACTTTTCTTTTTCGGTTTTGTCAATTTTAGTAGGGGAACCCTCCACCGAAAAAGAATCGGTAAAAGTTGGCACTACTGGGGGACCTAGAATGTTGTTTTCCCCAGCTGAAAGCTTTGGGGTCTCCCCCCAGCCCAGATAGGCTCCGGGGTCCGGGGCGGCCCTGAGGTAAGGTTCCACGAGGGTTCCACGAGGGTTCCACCAGGGTTCCACGAGGTTCTGCGAGGGCTGCGGGGTGGTGCGAGCACTAAAAAGAGCACCACATGCTGTTGGGGATATCACCCGAGCTTATTTTGAATGCATCAGAGCCACGGAGCGTGGCTTTTATAGGGGAGATGTTGATACCCACCTGAACAAATTGCAGCCCTCCCCCCCCCCCACCATGCCATGCCAACTTGTCATTTTGTGCAGCAGCAAACCTCAAAAACCAAAGGCAATTCAGTGTCCGTGGGGTTGCTGTCCACACATTTTCGCTCCCGTGTGCTTACACCGGTGCCTTAAAAGGTATGGGCACATACCCTATGTTTGTTTCACCGGTTGTGTATCAATGGAACAGCATGTTTCTCCCCACGTCACGGCGCTCATTTGTTTGATCGTCACGGGTACCGTTTTCTGCAATCTTCCCCCAAAGACCACCGAACCGAAGCTGCGAACTTCGAGCAGCGAGCGAAGCCGAGCTGCTCGTCTCCCAGCGAGGGGCTTCTGCGGCTTCAACTTCGGCTTCAACTTCGGCTTCCATGGGTGAAGCGTCCAGTGCCCTAAGACACGAGTCGCGGATGCAACTAGGATCTCCAGGTGACTCTGTCGGGAAATGGAAGTCCCAAAGAAAGGCATCCTTAAGCAAAACAAAAAAGATGGGTCGATCCGATGAAACACCTGCGACTGCAACTTCTTGGCTTTCCGATTGCAGGGCGCGTTGGCACCAGGGATTGGCCGCTAGCGGATATAAGAGCCTGAAATCGCTGCGGCAATTCCATTGAGAGTGTCGCATACTCAGCTTGCTTTGTCAGACCAGCAAGCCCCGACTCATAAATGCTGGTCGTAATGCAGGTTGACATGTATAGTCACCGCTGCCCAAGTGCAGGGAGCGTGACTGGAACTTCTGGCTGGAACAACAAGAGAAAATCCATCGCTGCATTCCGCATGCATGAGGCAGACCCACGTCCTGTTTCAGAAACTTGCCAAGCGAAAGTTTCCGTGGAAACCGTCACGAGGTTTCAACCAATTTCGGGGCCCTCAAAAATCTCATGGGTCTCATGGACCAGTCTCCGGAACTCGGGCGTTCACAACAATGGGAAGCCCCCACGAATGAGTGGCATTCTTTTGCTTCCACATTTCCCTCAACAAATTTGTTACTTCTCCAGAGAAGGCCAATCAAGCTTCTTTGGTAGAACAAGGGAAAGTCCTCATAGTGAAGAAACGCCGTCCCCTTAGGAAGCTTTTTCCCGCACAGGGAGGTCAAAACGGCCCTCGCCAAACCTCCTTCCCTCCCCGCCACTCCAGGGATGCGATCCATTCTTTTTCCTTACGGCTGCCGCGAGCCGCTCGCATCCGCTCGCAACCGCGCGCCTCCGCCTGCCTCCGTGGCAGGTGAAGGCCAAAGGAGAGGGGAAGGTGTCTTCTTTTTGCTTTTTGAGAAGGGAAACCAAAAAGAAAGCCGGACATGTATCAATGTGTTCTGCAAACAAAATGCAAATAGGATAATTAGCAACAGTTGGGGTCACCTTGGTTCCAACACATACCTGCATAGAGCTTGTGCTGCCACGAGCGTTGCTCGGGGGTTATGGGAGGGATCCTTGAGGCTGAAGGTCGAAACGGGCAGTGGCCGACCGGAACAACCGACAAAAAAAACATCACAAACAAACACTCCGGAACAAGCCGACGGCGGAACAAAGCCAACAGCCCGAAAAGCGCCACACGGCGACGCCGTCCCCAAAAAATAAAACCCCCAAACCAAGCGACGCGCGTAGCGCGTAGCGCGCCTCAGTGAAAGAGATACTTCCGGATGGTGGGCTTCGCCTGCCCGAATCGCGCAGCGAAGCCTCGCTTTGGGGTGGAGGGAAACCAAAGGGAAAGCCAAACTGCAAACCACGGGAAGCTCTGGGCGTTGGACCCTTTTCCAGCTGTCTCAACAGGGTCAACTCGCCTTACTGGGTCTAAGCCAAGGGTTGGCCATCTGGATTGGCCAACTGAGTCAACGCCAGACAAGAAATTTGAAGTAGTCTACAAACCCATAATATCAACTAATCCAAAGGGCCGGTCTTGTGGTTCTGGCGTTTTCTCGCTTTGCACTGGAAATATGGTGGAGTCACCACTTGCCCAGGACTGGGGGCTGGAAAACAACCCCCAAAAAGGTACCTTCCAAGAACAACAACCACGCACACACACACAGACCTGGGAAACTGGCCTCATGACTTTACCATGATCCAAGTCACGCCCTAAGTGGTGGGTTAAAGGGAAACAACCGATTCCACTTTTTGATAACCCCCAGAAACCGTCAAAGCAATGCCCCCAGAGAAAACAAGAACGGATAAGCAGTGGGTGCATCGTGCCGAGGGCCCTGCTCTTGAACGGCACCTCGTGAAGACCCCCCGCCCTCGGCAAATCGGCAGCTCCGTGGCCTGCTCCATGACAAGGCCCAGCCGGGAATCGATGGTGTTGTCGATGGTGATGCTGCCCTCCTGGCATGCCAAAACCTCGGAGAGCCAGCGGGCTCTGTCAAACCATCCGGGAGACAGGTAAAGATCCAAAGGAAACTGGAACCATTCGTAACAGGCCGTTCAAAGAACACAACAAGAGACAATGACACTGAATTTCGGAAGCAAGCACAAGCAACGGAAGCGGAATGAAGCGGCAAATAACTGAGCGCTGAATGAGTCAAAGAAGCCGTGGTGCGGGCGATTATCCAGCAACATTTGACACATGGCACGCCCCAGCATCCAGCTGGCTTTCAGGCGAGAGGGGCTGACACCAAGGTTTGCAACTTCTGCACTTGTTCTCGGAGACTGAACGCCATATCGCCTATTGTTGCTTGTCTTCTGTCCAAAGCCAGACAATATTGAAGACATTTAATACCCAAACGAGATGACCAACCACTGGAAAGGGCGAGACATTCCTGCCTCCAAATTCCATCAGAAGAATAGAGGACATGCTTGACATTGGGGATCCCCTTTTGGATATCGCTTGCAACTTATAACTGACAGGGTCGTTCAACGGAAAATCCACTTTCCAACAGATCCTACCAGCGCGATTCGGATTCAGCAAGGACTAGCCATGACAAGGAAGCAAACCAAAACGCCGCCAGTTTTCTCCGCCGATTCCAGAAAGCACCCCTTTGAAGCTGCCAGATCTCCCCAGGGGCCCCTCAAAACTCCTCAATATCCGGGAGTCCCTTGATGTGTGCAAACACCAATCCCGAACAGGCCCTCCCAAAAAATAGTTCGGGAACCTCATGACAAGAATCATACAAGCGACTGTCAACACTACTGAAGATACCTGAAAAACAACAGGAATGGTGAAAGGGGGTACTACAGTGTTCTAATAGACCTCAAAACCAACTATATCCAAACTAGGCCAACCCCTTGTTGCATGGTTTCAGAAACAAACCTTAAGCTTTCGAAGGGCCCCTCCCTTTTCACAACACCTCCCAACAGGCCTCGGCCCCCCTTCTTGTTTGTTTAACTCAAGAAAAACGCATGGCTTTTCGTGCCAAACCGTTTTGTCCCCCCAAAACAGGCCGAACCAGGCGCAGCGCTCCATTTGCCCAAAGAAAGCAACCCTATGGGACTGGAGCCTCTCTCACACCAATTCACAACCGGAAAGTCCTGGAAGCCCCCCATTCTTCCTTTTAAAGGGATCCTCTCTGGACCTAGATGAGGTTTTCTCCGCCGCCTTTTCCAGGTCCTGTTTTTCCAGAACCGGGTCCCGAACGTCCAACGGTTCCACGCGGCTGCTTTGGGTCCCGCGCCACGCCCCCGAGGCAGGAGGGCCCGTGCTGGTCGCCGGTGGGCGCCGGCGGCAGGGACGTTTTCTGGCGGGAGGTGTTGTCAAGGCGCGGCTCTACCCCATCCCTCAGCTAAACTGTATGGCTGTGGGTCAAAATTGGGTACCCAAAATGAAACCCTGGCAACTGGAACCCATGACTAAAATAGGCGGTTTTTTGGTGGTTTAATTTTGACCCACACCCGTATGATGTGAGCAAAGAAGAAGACCTCCATTTGTTGACTTCTCAACCTGGAAGAGATAAAACATCTATTTCCAGTGGTGATAGATGCTCTTTCAAAACCAGCGGAGAAAATATGACATATTCTTAAGCAAATGGAAGAACACTGGTCTTCCAAATGACACAGGTCCCGGCGAAATCCACCACAGCTCATGTTGACAGCCCAGCCAGGTGCCGCGTTTGGGGGTTAAATGCCCACTTGTGTCACTCCAGGCGTTTCCCCTAGGAACCTCCCCCCTTTTGCCAGGTTGAAAACACCGCCCCCTCTAACGTGTGGAAACCCTCCTTTAACAAAACGGGGAATGGCCCAAAGTTCGACGGTGGTCTGTTGCCGCTGGACAAGCTTGGCAGAGCTCCAAAAAAAATCCGTGGCATACCACTGGGAGGCAACTCATTTTCACGATTTTCACGGTGTGTTCTAAAACAAGACGGATCGGACCCACCCCTTCCCGGAGTAGACCATCTGGCACCGTGAGTGCGGATTTTTTCTGACTCTAGACGTGCCAAGAAGGAACCCGATCATTTGCCATTGCTTGCAGTTGATTTCATTGAGCCGGGCTGACTTTTACTCTTTGGATAACCCTCATTTAGGCGTGTCGTGTTTGTGGAACCAACACCCTTTGGGGTGGAGACGCACCGGATAAACCGTTAAACCTTGATTCCCCTCAGTCAAACTGTCGAATTCAAAAAAGCAAAAACCCAAAACACATGTTTGTTTTACCTTTCAACAAAAAAAGGCGACCCTCCGATCGACTCGTCGAGGCCTTGTCCAGGCTCAGGCTGCAGCTCTTCACGGCCCCGGTGTTGTCCTTGATCACCTCCCCCGAACCCCCCGCCCCTCCCCCCCCAAGTTGCCCCCCCCCCCCACAAGAATCAACAAACAAATCAACGAGAAACAAAAAAGCTACAAAATAAACATAGAACCCCTAAAATGGAGCCCCTTTCCCCTTGCCAAATACACATAGAAGCCCAAAAGGGGGGGCGCCCCTTTTGGGGGTTCCTTTAGGAAGCTGACACTTCTGGGATTTGAGTTCCATACCCGATGGGAGTTAGCTTTTCAGGCGTGGGATGAACTGAACGTCCGGATCCTTGGGAATTTTAAGATCCAACACCTTGGCTTCCATGTCGGCAAACTGCTTGTTGGATTGCCCTCCAAATTCTGAAAGCGAAAAGGGGGGTTTTGCAGGACTGCTGTCCTTTTTGGGGAACAATGGGGAAACCCGAAATGTAACTTCCATGACTGGACCAAGGGTGGTTTCTTCACAATCTAGGATCCGAGGTGGTTAGATCCAAATTTAGAACCATTTGGCTGTGGCTCAAAAAACCGGTACCAAAATCAAGCGTGGTAAGTGGAAACATGGACCAAAACCTGCGGTTTGCCCCTCCTGTTTAATTTTGAGCCACACCCTAAATTTAGAACCATTTCTTCAGTAAACCTGGGGTTCTTCAGCCGGATGGCCATTGGCACCTCAACTAAAATGGGGGGAGGCCGGGGTGGATCTCCTCCACGTCCAGTATGCAGGGTTCCGTTTGTTGACTACCCCAAAGTCGACTTAAACCCAGGGGTGGTTGATTTCCCCAAACGGGAAACCCCTGGGTTTAAGTCTACCTTGGGGTAGTCAAAAAACGGAACCCCGCCCATGTCCCTTTATTTTGGTGTAAAAAAACATGTTTCAAAATGGTTGCAACATGTATCTTTTAAGGAGCCCTGAACAAGGACAGACATGAAAAGGGACCTTCCATCGGTGGAAAATGCTCCCAGCCCCGCCTGGGCGTACTCCTTGGCCGCATCGCCGAGGCACTCGGAGACCAGGGCCTGGGCTAACCCTTGCGGGTTTGAACCAATGGGTGGAGCGGTCTGGGTAAGGAAAAACAACATATCCGAGGGACACAGAAGCTTTACGTGTCCGTTGCCCAAGCGTTCTCTCAGTTTTGGCTTAAAGCCTAACAAAAACAGAGATGGGTCCGCCTCAACATGGGGGCACCCCCTGTTTGGGATGTTTTCGCCGGCTATACCAGGAGGACACAACTTGGAGGGGACTGCCCCAGCGTTGGGAACTCAGATTTGAGCATCGCAACATATCTGGGGAAGTCATCTTTAAATGTGCTTTTTCAGAACTGGTGTTGCAAGGAAACGCACGAAACAACAAGAGGGCTTTCTTGTCATTTTCTTTCTTTGCGGGGAGAGGTGAGGGGCAGGGGCGTCCCATGCTTTTGTGGAGGCTTCCTTTTGAGATGCATTTGTTGCCTCAGAATGCCGTGGGTGCCAAACCGGGGCCCGTCGGCTTCCCGTTGGTTTCCCTAGGCCCAAAGCGAAGAAGGTGCTTCAACTCAACGAGGCATCCGGCCCGCCTCGTCACACTTGCGACATCGGACCTCCACTTTGTCCTACGTGCAACCAGCCGAAATCCCGGGCAGGAGACGTGTCGATCCAGCTAAAGGGACCCTTTTAAATTCCAGTAGTGATTAACTCCTTTTAAGACCAACAATCATGAATTACGAAAAGCTTACTCCTTTTAAGACCAACAAGGGACATTGTGTTTAAAAACAAAAAACATCTTAAGCAAATGGAAGGGGTGTGTCCTGGAGCTGAGGGTGAAAAGGGATGTCACCCATCGGGGTCCCCTGTTTTCAGACGTACCTGTCATGGACAAAACAGGAGGCCCTGCATTTGCTTAGGAAATCTGACTAATGAGGTTCCCCCTCCCCCTGCAACCCTCCCAAATCGAACTTAACTAGACTGCAGTACTTGTGGACCAAGAGCTCATGTGCATTGTGCCTCACAATGAAGCATGTACAAGTTGGGGAACCACCAGGATGGACGGTTGATTCCCTTCAAAGCAACCCCTAAACTGGCTGACATCAACGCAAAAACAGACTATGCCCTGTTGAATGGCTTTGATGGAGAACCATAGATGACCAACCAGTTGTAGGGATCTCCAGTTCGAGACACACACAAGTTTGAAACCAAGAGAAACCCAAGGCAGTCTCGCATTGACTGAGCCAAGCGTTCAAGAAATGTTCGATGGTCGTTTTTGACAAGCTCCCCGAACGGCCACATATGTGGCTAACAGTAAAGACTGCTCTGCGGTTGTTCTCATGTGTTCTCTGTGAAACGAGTGTGATGATAAGTGCTCTGCTGGTGGCAGCCCTGTGCTTACATGCACGCGTCCCCTTGTCTAGCAAGAATTGCAAGCGGGCTGATCGAGATTTGTTGCTCGTGGGGCACATGTTGAGGTAACTTCAAATTTAATGCGCGAACAGTGGTTGGTTCAGACAGGCAGCCCAAATCCACGAAATGGCAAGAATAGCACATCGAACAGCTCCACTCGGCAAAAGCTGGGGGGCGGCCGCCTAGCAACCTGGCCAACACAGCTCCGAAAACAGTGGAAGGCTTTGTGGAACTATGTGCATGCACAAACAGACTGCTAGTCTCGTGAAGACCAAGCTAGAAAGCAAACACGTTGTACCGAAATCTTAGTGTAAACCCCCTACTTGACCAATTGCACGCGTTTGCGGGCTGTTAGTGGGCGGGCGTCAGAGCTGTACTTCACAAACGGGCAATATTTCAGAGGCCCCCCGACGCAGCTCCGAGGTTCAGGTGAGCTCGATACAATTTTCTAGCGGTACTTCCCGCATTCTTTTCACGGATCGAACCAAGGGAGTGATAACTGCCCCCAAAAGCACACAACACAGCTTGTTAGTCCCCCGAAAATATACAGGCTGCCGCAGTTCTCCTCTAAGAGCATGAGGAGGCCCTGCACAATGAGCTTGGTGATAAACTTCTTCTGGGCCCCCTGCAAAAAACCGCGGGATCGGAGGTCGAGCATCCGAATCCCGAATCGGACGCTACCGGCTCCAAAAAATTCAAACGCCCTTTGGAGACCCAAAGGGAAAGTGAAATGGACACCCGTCCTCGCAGTTTGAGGCGCCACCCTATGTTTGGAAGCACCCAAGTACAAGGGGCCATCTGTCTCTCAATGGTGAACTTTCTGTGGGGTGGGCTTCAAAGGACAAACGGACCAGCAGAATTTCAGCGCAGATGGTCACAACTGGGAGGGTGAACAACTGACAAAATGATTGGCCCTTTGTGTGGTTTAGGGAGTTGCGGGCCCTACCCAAAGTCCCCACGATGTTTGGGCCAAATTCCAATCCAATTTCTCCGGCCCTCTTCTTGCTTCCCATAATAATTATCGTGGTTCATGTGTTCTTGAGCGCGTTGTTGAGGGTACCTTTTCACCATGGATTATAGGGAAGCTTGCCTAAACTAGGGGACCCTGGCAACGGTTGGTGTCTTTCGGTTTCCCTTGAAAGCTCATCCGAAGGCGAGGATGGCATCTTACATTTGGACATGCCCGCACAAATCGCCGAAGCCTGCGAACGACGCTGTTGATGTTGCGAGGCCCCTCCAAAATGGGTGGGTCTGCGTTTGGTTGTCCGTGCAGCAACTAAGCGCACACACACACACACACACATTGGCATCCCAAAAACGTCCCAAGGTCCGCAACTATCTTGTTCAGCTTGTCCAAGAAAGGTGTTTGGGTTTAATGGTCCCACACAACTTTTCCGGGGATGGGGCCAACCTCCATTTTAGGCATGGTTTATATCATCTAAAGAGAGCTCATTGGTTTCAACAACGGCCCCATTCAGTTCCCTTTGAAGCTCGCCTTGCGTGTCAGTGTCTTTGAACCATGTCTGCCCGCAAACGACGGGCCCACAGGAAACCTTAGAAGATGTCAATCGCCATTTGAAGTCCTGTTCTGCACCCAACCCTAAACAACCCAATGCCCTAAACAAAACAGAACGGGACCCTCTGCGCGCTGTGTTTCTCTCAGGCCCCCTGCCCAAACCAAAAAATATGCTTCCGTCTGGCTGGGATTGCTTGGCTTGAACTAGGACCCCAGCAAAAAATATGTCTGTTTTGCCTGGTTAGTGGAAAACACAGGGGACCCCAAAAAGCAAAAAACAAAAAAAGGGAACTGATTCTGGGGAAGATTGGTGGTTTGGGGGTGTCAACCCCTGCCTTTTACGGCAAATGGGAAGCTGCCCCCTCCAAACCCAAGTTGGAGCCGGCCCCAAGATCCAAGTGTCACCCGACTCAAAGGCGCGCCTTGTCCGTGAGGCGCTTGACCAGCTCCTTCTCGGAGTCGTCCGACAAATGGCCCAGCATCTCCTGAACCGATCCATCGAATTCCTTGGAAACTGGGTACCCCAGGCCGATGAACATCCGACAATGATGTTGATGACGACATTGTTGATGCTGCTTCTGAAAATGGTGATGATGATACCGATTCGCACATGTATGCTGATGTTGTTGCCGATCATGATATGTATGATACTAGTGATGATGATGATGATGATGATGATGATGATGATGATGATGATGATGATGATGATGATGATCATAATGATAATGACAATGGTGATCATAATGACAATGACAATGATGATCATAATGACGCTGAAGATCAAGATGTTGATGAGGATGATGATCATGATGATAATTCTGATGATAATTCTGATGATGATAATTCTGATGATGATACTTCTGATGATAATTCTGATGATGCTGATTCTGATGATAATACTGATGATGATGATGATAATTCTGATGATGATAATTCTCATGAACATTATGATGATGATAATTCTGATGATGATGATTCTGATGATACTGATGATGATGTCAATGATGATGATGATGATGATCATTCTGATGATAATTCTGATGATGATAATTCTGATGATGATGATGATGATGATGATGAAAATTCTGATGAACATTCTGATGATGATAATTATGATGATGATGATGATTCTGATGATCATTCTGATGATAATTCTGATGATGATGATGATTCTGATGATTCTGATGATTCTGATGATGATGATGATTCTGATGATACTATTGATTCTCACGACGGTGACTGCTTGGGAGTAAAGCACAGGCCAGTTCACGCCAAGCACAAAGCGTCAGGCAACTCGCACCTGCCGGCTCTTGATCTTCTCCAGCCTCGACCTGGGTCCAAGCGCTCGAAGGGCCAAGGGGCGGGAAGGGCTGAGACTCCCAACGATGGCCAAATTTCTGTGGTCAGCTGGGCAACAGCCGCAACTTTGAGAGCCAAATCAGTTGGGGTTGGGCCGCAAGAAAGTTGGGTGTAACTTGCTTTTTGGGTGCGTTTTTTCTTGCGGATGAGAAAGAAGAAGGGAGGTTGGTGGGGTTCCGCCGGTTGGGAGCAAAATGCCTTCTTGGCCGTTACCTGAGCCCTGTGCCGGTTGATGGCGGTGGATCTTGCGATGGCCGCCTCAGTCCAGATCTGATTGAGCCGTTCAGACTGGAAAAGGCCCCTTTTTGCTTACTGACAGCTTCCAGATTGCTCTGCTGCGGGCACGGGCCCCTTTTTGGTTGTTTGGAGAACAGGCTTCACAAGCAAAACTTGTGGCAGTGGGCTTCTTTACGTTTGAAGCCGCTCGTTCTGTCATTGCAGATTCGCAACAGGCCAAGTCCTTAGTGTACGCTACAAGAAGTGTACGAAACAAGGGCTTAGTGATCCTTTTCGCGGGAGGGAGCAGGGTGTCAGTGTTGCGCAATAGATGGCCAGTGCAAGATATGAGCCAACACTGTTTTGCCGAGCAATACATTGAAGGATCTTAATGCCTGTCCTCGCATTGCTTGGTGACATGTCAGCTGGAACCTTCCTTCATTCCTTCCTTCCTTCCTTCCTTCCTTCCTTCCTTCCTGCCTGCCTGCCTTCCTTCCTTCCTTCCTTCCTTCCTTCCTTTCTTCCTTCCTTCCTTCCTTCCTTCCTTCAAAACAGCAAAAGCAGGCATCATTGGAGGTTTGTCATGTCTGATTCAGTGCATCCCGACTTCAGCGTCACATATGTATGTGTATATATATATATATCTTATAGTGGTCCATATATATATATATGTATTAGTCCAAAGGCCAATTCGCTTGGAATCCAACCATGCAATCTCCATTTTCAGAATGGGAACTCTGTTACAACTTCATGTTTTGGGAGGAAGAGGCAATCCATGCGCTGGGCGTCAGACCTGGGTGTCAACCTGCTTCAGCTTCCTAGAGTAGTCCTGGCATGGTGCAACCTTTTGCTACCCGCCTTTGGGTTGGAGACAAAACGGAAACCGAAAGGAAACAAAAGTTGGAGACACACCCAAGGAATTGCTGACAGTGCTGGCCCATCAAGCTAGGGGACAAAATATGTTGCCTTGGATTTCTCCATGAGCTTCTTTTGCAACCCAGACAAGATTGTCAAGATACCTCCGCATCCCCTTCCAGGTTAGCTCTGGAAACTCTTGCGCTTCTCTGGGAAAGAACTACAGAAACCAACCCCAAGCCTTCAGCATAAGCATGGCCCGTGGTAACCCAGCTGCATCAGCAAAACTTAGAGAGAGGAGGTTACGAGGTTTTATAGGACCACCCGATAAAAATGGCGATGCGTTTGGTTCTATGTTTCAGCAAACCTGGAAAAGGGTGGCAGTTTGCTCTCTTTTCTCTCCAAAAAAAAACCAAAATGGTGCTGCTTTTGGTAAGCCTTGCAGCCATGGGAAGTAGCCTCAGATCTGTAGCTCCTGCTGGATCTTCTCCTTCATGGAGTTCACAATCTTTAGCCGCTCGATGCTCTCTTCCTGGCGGCCGCGAACCGGGCAAGCCCCCAACTTTGCAGCGCCGGTCTCCAAAGAAAAAAAAAACGGCGCGCGGGCTTTGGGGGAACTCCCTTGCTGAAGTAGTGTCAAATGGAAATCAAGAGGAAGCTGATTTAGTTGTAAAAGGGAAATCAAGAGGAAGCCAAACGGGCTTGGTGGGGAGACAAACAAGCCCAAAACACGAACCATGCAACGCTTGAAGAATCCTGCAACTGGCTGCGCAGCGCAAGACCTTTTGAGGCAATCGGAGTCGTGGCCGGAAAATCCAGGTCAGGATTGTAAACTGTCAGGGTTGAAAGCCGGGGTGTTCCTTTCCAACATCGGTGACCCCGGTTCCGTTTTCCCCGAAAAAAGACTTGGAATACCTGCGAAACTGTCGGGATCCAATTGATCGTTCCACCCATCAAACCAAATGGTGGTCTGGACAAGTCTCGGACACAGCAATCCCCTTTTGGTATCCTTCAAACAAACACCTCAAACAAAACCAGCCCTTCTCGTTCTTGATATACACCAATGTCCAACATCTGTTGCCTCCGGCCAGTTGTTTTGAAGCCAAAGAACCTGAGGATTCACGCTCCAAGCAGCACCCGGCTCCTGCAAGGCCTTGGTGTCGATCTCCTCGGCCTTGTCCCGGGCCTGCGAAGGCGAAGACGAAGGGAGGCTTGAGGCATGGGCCCATCAGTGGGATTTCCATGGGGAGAGGGGTGCTCGATGTTTGGTTGGTTGATTTATGAAGGGAAGCCCCTCAAAAAATAGGAAGCCAGGGCGCTGCGAGGTCTGGGCCATCCATGCTGCGTGCTTCGCCATGTTCGAGACATCCAATTTATGGGCTTCGCTGGGTCTTCGAAGGCACCCTTTCCGGTTGTCTTGAACCAACCACAAAAAACAACCTCCAGTGTTGGTCGATTGGAAGCCATCCACTGGGCTTCGCAAGCTTACGCCAACCCATGATAGAGAAACCATATGGTGCAAAAGAAAGAGCCCCAACTGGGTACCACATGCATGCTCTTCAGGCCGCCACATTTTGTACAAGTACATAGTTGGGCAAGGCTGTGAGGGGAGACCAGCTCACGCGTTGCCCTAGTTCAAGCAAACGGAGAGCCATGAGGGCACCAAAGGTTGCCAGCTCCATTGGGGCGAATCATGGCCCCCTCAGTAACCGGAACGGTTCTACCAATCCTTCTGCGCAGGTTCTAACACCTTTCCTGGGTTGCCGGGGTTGGGGGGGGTTGGTTGTTTTCCTACTTCGGTGGGCTGTGACTGGAACCAGAATGTCGCAAAGCGTGGCAACGTGTGAACCGCGCAGACACAAGCACGCCTCGTTCAAGATGAACTGGGTCATCTGCAAAATTTGTGCTTGTGTATCCTGGACAAACGGGAACATTCTCCGCTAGCTCTGCTTGCCCATGCGACTGTCACACGCCCTGATACGCCATGCATGCCTCAAGCACTCATGGGTCCTTCGAAGAGGCATCCATCGCGTCCAAATGGATGCAACCACAACCACTGTTATAAGTTGAGCCCTACGAGCTGCATCGAACGACTTGGAAGCAGCCTGTGGCCCAGCGAGTGGCCCAGCCTTCAGCACTGTCCGACTTCCTTCCCTTGTGCTGTCCAAGAAGCAGTAGAAGGCTGGCAGGTGTCAGTGAGCACCAAATGTGTCGGCGCCTTCCGCCCTTGCAATCAGCGTTTGCTTGCCTCTTCCCCGCACTTCCAATTCAATGTTTTTGATTGAGTTGTCAGGAATCCCAACATCACCGCCCTCAGAATCCCAATTTTATCACATTGGGGTGCTTGCCCAAAATCGGCCTCTTCCCCAGACATGCCCCAAGAACAAATACTCTCACATGATCCGACGTAGTTTGCGACCAAATGTCCCCAAGGGTTGGGGCCGCCCTCAACGTCATCTTCCGAAGTACATCAAGAGTTGGCGACCTGGCTGCATTGTGCAAGAAGTACCTGGCCAACACATCATGTTTCGCAGAAACAGACCTATCAGGATGCGAGGTTGGAGTGAGATAGCTACCGGGCCATATAATGAACCAATGGCATGTACCAAGGCCTGCAACAAAAAAGGCCACGGGCGCTCTCTCCCTCTTGATAAGGTGCAAAGGCTGAACCCCTGCCCATGGATCAATGCGTTCTTTTTCTCCGCGATGGCTCGCTGGATTCGGCCTCAGGCTGGTGATGCTCCACAAGGACCAACAGCAACAATCAGTTTTCCGTCAAGCTATCCTGTTGCCTCGCATGGGTCGCATGGCGGCTTCAGTCAGCGATCAACGTCAATGGCGGCCGAAGGGATGGAGCACAGAACTGAAGTTGGCGCAGAAACTGAACACCAAAAGCGGAGTCTCAGGACTGGCAAATCGGGCGCGCTGCCGCCGCGTATTGGTCAAAGGCGACCCCCCCTTACCTCCCCCGCTGGTCCCCGGGCCAGTTAGTAGAGACCTGGAAATGAACACAGGTTGATCTATAAACATGGAGAATGCAATAAGCGATAAAAAAAAAAAAAAAACATATGAGGATAAATGCATATGGGTGTTTCTCAAAGAACTAGCGGGTCCCAAACTGATTGGTTGGTTTCCTTTTTGGCTCCCTTTTAGCACCATCCAGAAGGGGGCCATTATATTCAGAAACCCCCGTATCATGTCTTTGTCGTATACTGTCACTTGCCTCTCTCCGATCATCCTGTTTAGAAGCTCCGCAGTTCGCATTGCCGGGCCCCCGGCAAACCGATCTCGCGGATCTCCCGCAACATGCCCGCGAGCCGTCCTGCTGTCGTCGTTTGCTTCCGCCAGAAGCCAAAAAACACCGAGGTTGTGGGCCAGGATACTCAGACATAGGTGTCCTTTTAGGGGAAATAGATCAGCCTGGTAGATGATTAAACCACCAGATAAACCAGGGCCATGGATTTTTTCTAGCAAAACAACCAAAAAAAGACACCTATATGCACTCAGCGTTTCGCCAGATCTGCAAAACTTGGCCTGTGAATGTCACAAATCATAGGAATCCCCCCCCAGCAAGCTTCATGATGGTAGGCTCGTCTTTGCTTGACTAGTCCCCTACTAGTATGTGAGCTCCAACTTTGCTGCCAGAAAGGGATTCGCACCCGGTTGACAGGCTCAACCCTTTTGAGGGTCCCGACGGATCCGCAAAGGGCGCCCGATTTTCTCAAAGTTACGTCTTGGGGAAGAGCAAACTTGTGGGTTCACAGAACGATGCTTGCCTGGAACATGGGAAAAAGGTGGCACGCAATGACAAGAAAGCCCGCAGGGCATGCTGAAGAACTACAGTGCCGCACCGAAGCAGTCTTCCAGTTCTTTGTCCACCAAAACATACTCACACCTGGATGGTGGACTTACCAAATTGTGATTCGGGCACGAGCCTGTGCCCAGGCAATGGGTAAGTTGGGGTAAACAAGCCACAAAAGAAAGGTTCCCCAAAAGCAAACCAATCCCCGGTCCCAAAGATCAGGGTTTCCCACACACCAGAGAACAACAACCAAAAGGAAACAAACCAAACAAGAAAAGGGTTAACCCGCAACCTTGGTCGACAACAGGCCGCACGACTGGTCCCTACCAACCTGGCGGCGGCCCGAGGTCTCTTTCTCCCCCGAGATGCCGTCGGTCGACGCAGGGGTTCGGCGACGCCCATTCGAGGCGCGACGGAACCCAAAACTTGAGCCAAAGCACCACAGGTCGGTCACTAACGCGACGTTCCTGATGATGATATGAACCATGGCTAATCACACCCCCCTCACGAGGAGCCCGTCATATGACGGGTGGAGCGTGCCATTTACTGATAGGATTTAACTGCTCGCATGCGTCCGCAAACAGCTGGACACTACCGCCGTCAGCGGTGGAGCAAACCCACAAAGGCAGTTGCGCGACATCCCGGGCATTAAATTCCCGCCACCACCCCGAATTAATCGGGGTAACGCTGTCCAACAAACCTTGTGGAAAAGTCCACATGACGACACTAGGTCACAACTGTTTGCATCAACAATGCAAGAAGTTTAATTCTTATCAGAAGCCATGAAATAAAAGATAACGTATGTCCATTAGTACCCTCGCCTAACGGCAAGAGGTACTCCTGACCATGCGTACCTGAATAAAAATGCTTGAATTCAGCAAACCCGGGAGTAACCCCCCATCAGTTTGCTTTCCCTCTCACTCACACTGCTCCCTGATGAACACGTCCAGCAGCCCAGCAGCGGTATGGGAGAGACATGACCTCCGCGCCTCAGCGGTCCGGGAGGAACATCACCACCTCCGCACCGCGCCGACCATTGGAGAATGGACGCAAGCCTATCGGCCGCAATCCTCGTGACTCAGCCTACCGGCTATCGTCACGTCTCCTCCGGTCACGTCCGCCCCGCGCACGGTCCCTATCACGATCCCTCTCGGATCTCCTGCGATCATCTCGCCTTCGATCTCGCTCCCGATCGAGTGATTCATCATCACGACGATCACGAGCATCGTCCCTCCTCCGGTCTCGATCATCCTCGCGCCGTGGACGGTATCTGCGCCTCCTTGACTCCCTGGAATCCCTGGTGTCCACGGTCCTAACGGACCTCCGAGAAGGAGTACGGGAGACATCCGATTCCCTACGCCTCCTTCCAGAGCGAGAGTTCGTCACGATCTGGTTGAGAGCCTCCAGTGCCGACGCGTCCTCACCATTTCTAATGAAATCCCTGACTTGCTTGTTCAGCACCCTGTTGGTGGAGACCGCCAAAAGAGCGTCCACCACCGAACTCCCAGGAAGCACCAGGAAGTGACCCTCCACCGGGCTCGCCGCAGTTCGCTCAGCCGACTGCAACCTGATCTCACCGCCTTCAGGCTTCTTTGCCATAGCCTTGGAGGCCGTCAAGGGCGCTACCGCGTCCTTCGCCGAAGATCTGCCAAGCGCGGAGTGAAGATCATCCCCACTAGCCTCTCTCGCTGCCGCACCTGGTCTGCTGTCGACGTCATCAGGCCTTGTTGAGGCCTCCCGCTTCGTCGACTCCTTCACAGTCTCATCGGGACCCCAACGGGACTTCCTTTCTCTCTTCTGCCCTTCAGCCGACCCCCGGCTACCGCCAGGAGCGTCATCTCCGCCCGTCTTCTCCTTCTTGACCTCAACCCTCGGTTCGGCCTGCTTCGTCTCCTTAGCTTCAGCCTTCGGAGCCGGAGGATTCTTCGCCTCAGATGCTGAAGCGGCCTTCCCTTTTGGCTCGGCCTTTGGAACCGGGGTCATTTTAGCCTTTGCACTCGGCCGGGCTCCTTGAACCACCATCTCGACCCAAGTCTTCTTCGGTTGAGTCACAGTTGCATCAACCTCCATCGGAGCTGGTCCAGCATCATCCTTTGCTTTTGCCTTCGGGACAGATGGGCTACCGCCCTTGCCAGATCCTTTACCTGGCACTTCACCTGACTTCGGTGGTGTGCCGGAAGGACTACCGCCCTTACCGCCCTTTTCCCCCTTCTTCCCTTTTCCTTTTCCACCCTTGATGACCGGCTCCTGCTTGGGAGCAGGACCTGGCGCAGCATGATGCACCGATTGAAGTCCCTCGATGTCCACGTTTAGTGGTTCGGGTTGACGACCATCAAGAACCGTCCTCACCCTCTCGTCGCTGACGTTTCTTCTCATCGTACCCTGTCTCCGACACCATGTACTGCCTGAGCTGCGACATCAACGCATGACTTTCCAGGATGTCCACGTCCTTTCGATGGGTCGGATACAATGGGGTCAGATGACCAGCCGCGGAGCCAATCACGTATGCCATCGGGATGTAGAAGGACAAGTACGTGTCATGGCGAGCGAACTTCCTAACGGAAGTCGTCATACGCCTACCCCACTGGGCAGCATGCCTTGGGTTAGCCCGGAAGTACTCCGTAACCGACTCAAATCTATCGACTTGGTTGGTCAAAATCAGGTGCTTCGCCACCCACTTCTCCACGAACGCATCCGATGCCGAAATCCCCGACACATAGGAGAATTGGAAGAGCACCTTCGCCAGCTCATCCCACGCCGCATCGACTCCTCCCTTGTCCTCACCAAGATAAGGGGGCAGTCTGATGCCGCTCTGCACCGTCATCCTCAGATCAGACGCCATCGAATAGGAAATCAAGTTCCTCTTGATGACTCCGACCACTTCGGTGGGAATCCTCTTGGGCTTGAACTGCCCCATGGTCCTCACCCACTCCGGCACGATGCGGCAATTCTCGAAGTCTTTCTCCTCCGCATTGGGGATAAAGTTCGGGTAAAAGACCGGGAGCGCGCATCCAGGACACAAATGCATCCCATTTGGCGTCATCTCCGCGCACCTCAAACAGAACGTGGTAGTCACATTCAACCTGACCTCTTCCCGCGATCGCCTGTGCTCTCCCCTAACGGGGGTGAAGTCACCATAGTCCCATGCCCGGTGGTACACTATCGTGTAATCATCGTACATGTAAGCCGCCTTCCATGCTCCCATGTGGATCTCGTTCCTAACGGCCAGAGTCTTCCTTCTTGTCAAAAACACGGGTCCAACCAAGGACCAGTGCACCCG